GCTGCCTCAAAACTGCTCAATAAAAGCCAGTTCTGACAGATTTTTCACAATAATCGTGATTAAGAACAGTTATTATAAAAGTGATTGTTCTTCCATTGTTGTTCTTCTAAGAAGCACACACACAGTCTCAGAAAAAAAAGGTACAAAAGCTGTCACTTTAAAAAAGCTGTCCTTTTTAAAAGGTACACTTTTGTACCCAAATGCTGCATATTGGTACCTTAGTGGTACATATTAGCACCTAAAATGTACATATTAGTACCTGAAATGTACATATTAGTACCGGAAATGTACATATTACCACCTAAAATGGACATATTAGCTCATGAAATGGACATATTAGCACCTAAAATAGACATATTAGCTCATGAAATGGACATATTACCTAAAATGGACATTAGCTCATGAAATTGACATATTAGCACCTAAAATGTACTGTACATCTCAGCACCTAAAATGTACATATTAACAATTAGAATGTACATATTAGCACCTAAAATGTACATATTAGCACCAAAAATGTACATATCAGCACCTGAAATGTACATATTAAGACTTAAAATGTACTTATTAGCTCATGAAATAGACAAACGATTACCTTTTGAAAAGGTACAGCCCCAGTGACAGCTTTTGTACCTTTTTTTCTGAGAGTGTATGCTAAAATGAATACTGGCAAATTTTAAAGACTGTAAACCAAACACAACATCAAATGAGCTAAATGATGTAGATTAAATCTATGCTCTAAGCACCAGGGTTTACAAAGTGCAGATTGATTTACCTTTAATTAGCAGTTCTTTGGAGATCAGTGAAAACCTGCAGCTAAATTTATTCTGTGTGATTAGAAAGAGAGCCAGCCACTGTGTTCAGATCACTGATTTTAACCCTTCTGCCTCACCATAACCAAAAGCGTAAATCGAATAGTTGTAGTTTTTCCAACCTAAAAAAGTATTTGAGTCCAGCTTGACATTAAGTCTATAGGAATGTATTGTTTTGATGTCAAATGAAACTGATGATGAAAATCCTTTCTCAGTATGATTTTTCTCAGCTAGTTTTTCAGTGAATTGAGGACAAAATAACCAAAAGAAATATTGCACAAATTTCATTTCCACTGTCAATAGGTCCATAGGAAAGCACTGCTTTGGTTTTGATGGCAGACATTCAAGCTTCAACAACATCACTCACCATTCTATGGCTCTAATGTTGATCTTTTTCAGCTTGCTTTCTTTTTTCCATCACTATCTCTGTTGTTCCAGGCAGCTGGTGATCTTGATAAAATCCAGCTCCACTAACAGGAAGGTGAGGAGGAGGTCTTTGCTAAACTGTATTTCACCTGACAAACTTTGGGGGGGAGCAGCTCCCTCCCCCAGTTTTCATCTATCTTAATCTCATTCTCTTTCTTGACACCTTTATCTGTCTTTCTCCCTCTAATTACATTTATAAGACATACTTCTGTCGCTCTCTACACAAGATGTCCAAAGGGTTGGTCATGATTAAACAGTTTAAAACATTACAATAGCCTATGGGCTGCTATGTAGAGACTGCTATGCTAATGAGGACAGCATGATTCATAAATGACTAGACAGGCTTGTTAAAAGTGTGTTTTTTTCATTCACTTTCTTTAATATCTTTAGGCACTCCCATTCATTATTTCCCCAGACCTCAAGAGTTTTGTCATTTTGCTCAACAACAACAAAAAAAGACCTATAGATTACAAGCCTGTCGCACTTGCCTGCTGTGGAACATGAGATGCCACCAACATCTTCATGAAATAATGATGTGGTGCACTGCAAAGGATGTGTGTTCATTCACATGCTATTAAGGGGCAGTTCACAAAGAACGAGCTACTTTTCCATTGTTTTGTCATGTAAACTAGACAGACGCGTTTGGCTGTTGTGCGCATGAGCGTCTCACGCATGAAATGGAATTCTATGCCAAAGTTCAACTTTTAAAAAAGGCATTTTCTATCTTGCTCTTTTTGTTTTGTTTGACTGACCTAACCAGTCAAACCTGACCAGTTTTCAATAATTCACAACTCTTCGCACAGAGAGCAAAACTGCAGTCAGATACAAATGGTATTCGATTAATCACGATAAAATTACAAAATAATTTGCAATTATTTCGTTATTTTTTAATAGATTAACATAACTAATTTAAATATAAAATACTCATTGGTTCTACAGTTTTTACATTTCCATTTGATGCTTCTTGCTTCTGTCTCTACATGCGATGACATTTATGTGTCATCAACAGGATTCTGAAGAAAATCATTTTCTCAGTTTTTCCCTTTCTCAGCCGACACGTATTTGAAGCTTAACCTCGTCAGGACTTTCTCAGACTGTGCTGACAGACACGTTTGTGCCATCAGATACTGCAGCTTCTTTACAATTTAATGCGTGCATCTCATCAAAATCATGCTTGTGGCATGGTTTCAGAGTAAATATGTGTTTGTTGATGTGGGTGTGACATTGGAGATATTTTAATAACTGTTGGCAAATTTAAGCCATTAGACGTGAACATGATATGGAATTGTATCTGTTGGTGTGTGTGTGTGGGGGGGGAGATTAAGAAGGAGGAAACACACTTAAATAAAAGTTTGTGTGGGTATTCGTTGTGTGCGTGCATATGTCGGTGAGTGTATTGTGGAATGCAGAGGTGTCATAATGCAGGTGCTCGATGCAGTACTGTGTATTGCAGGAGCGAAGCATTCTACTGCAAATGTGTATAGGGTGTTTTAGTGAATCAATGTGGGATGCTTTCACTCAAAAAAAAAAAGCCTGCTCCGAAAAGCGTTAAAGCTTTTTTATCATGACTTGTGTATCACAGGGGGTACAGGGCAAGTTTAGGAAAAGCCATAAAGAAAAGCCATACGGATCTGGTTATGTGATGCATACATAGTTTACGAATGATTCACTACGGTTACATTGCTTTGAGGTCATAAGTCATAACTTGTTCAAGGAACCGCAGGAGAACAAGTCTTTATTAATCAATAATCATAATTTGTGTCGAAAGGAATTAAAGTTAATGTTTTACTGCCTCTAGTGTTCAGTTCAGTGTATGAATTGGTATTGTTTTGGAGATTTGCAAAAATACAGGTTGAGCTACATTTTTCCAATGAGCCAATAGGTTCAAAAAAGTAGCATCACGCTATTCATTTTAAAAATAAGTAGGCTGAATGGTAACTGGCAGTACTACCTGCCTTACTTTCTTGTTTTTCGAACACGAAGATGGAAAATTAGAAACGGGAACAGTTTCAAGTTTCCTGAACTTTAAAAAGTTAGAAAGCTTCCTTGTTACTAGACTGACCTCACAAATCTGTACATCTGGAAACTCCAGACCTGGATTGAGCCATACACTAAAAAATGCTGGGTTGTTTTAACCCAATTTTGGGTAAAATATGGACAAACCCAGCCAAATTACATTTTTAACCCAATGGCTGGGTTGGTCCATATTTTACCCAAAATTGGGTTAAAACAACCCAGCAGTTTAAATGACTAGTTTAGGATCTATGTCGTTTAAGATTTATGCATAATGCTCTTTAGTTTATTGCTTTGAAGAGAAACATATGTGTCTTTTTACCGTAGTTCTGCATATGGGCATTTCTCACAGAGACAAGTCTTTCTTTCTAGATTTGAGAGTGTGGACAGGGATGTGCACACACTTTCATGTCTTTACTAAATATCAGATAACCTAAATGTATAAATGTAACCACACAACATATACAGAGACTTTCCCTTATCCTGCAATGACCCATGTTCGCCTTGCATCTGTTTCATTGAGTATCCAGTCGTTTATAAGACCTTCCAGCTTTCAAGCCTCTGTTTTGTATTCCAGCTTCACACATATATCAAGTAGAATAAATGTAATACTGATGCTTCACAACAGAGAGAGCTATAGTGTATTGCTATTGGGTTTTGAATGTTCTCATTTGGGTCAGATGAGGACAGAAAGATCTTGACCTCACACACACATTTGCGATTTCTCTCTGTCTCTCTCTTTTCTATTAGAAAGTGGAGATCTTCGTCCACGGAATGGGTGATTTTGAGATGTACCGAGGGGGATGAGTGTGTGTGTTAGAGAAAGATTGGTTGATTGAGCTCTAGCGAGCTGTCAGAATCACACACAGACCATCCCTCATTAGTGAGCCAACACTGACCTTCTGCCTTCAACTGTTGGACTATATCCAGATCCTGCTACACATGGTGAATAACTCACCCACACACACACATACACAGAAGCATTCACCCACATCGATGTGTGTCTATTGTGCTTTATATTAATTTCAATATATATTACATTTTTAATATATTATATTCTATAAATATTACAATTCTGGTGGGTACCAATAAACTGAAAATTATTTTCATGTTATGGCAGATAACTGAATATTTATATTTTATAACAGGCCTACATAAATAAATAAATAAATAAAAAATGTTTTTATACATATATTAATAATAAGCCTTTAAAAAATTGTTTCAAATGCTTATAAATTAATTATTAAAATAAAATAAAAAAATTATGCGTAAAGAAATATCCATTTATGGCACGCATATATATATATCCAACAAGGGCTAGTAAATAAAAACAAAAATAATAATATAATATCACCAACAACCCATATGGAACCAATTTATTGTGCATTCCTATATAAAAATAAAGCATTCAAACAGAGCACAAAAATTGTAAAATATTTGATGTGCTTACTGAAGTTAAAATAAAATGTAAATTTTAAATGTATAAAATGCTCAGTGTGTACTTTAAGTAAATAATTTAACTTGCAAACCTATTCCAAACTATTTTCAGCATATATTTTAATTCACACTATTCAACATGCTTTAAGCCATTTTCCTAATGGATACCATTAATTTCTTCAAAAGATGAAGGTGATTTCAGGTTTTACTATCTCCTCAATATAGGCAAAACTTAACCCACACATAAAAACACACACACACGCTCCCTCTCATCCTCTCTGCCTCTCCCTCTCTCACTCGCTCTGTCTGCGCTCAGTTTAAGTGCAGGGATCCAGCGCATGGAAGGTAGAGGGCAGAAGTGCGTGTTTCCTCTCCTCCCCTTTACCTCCGTTCATCTTCTCATTCAGATGACAGCCTGAACGCTTGCTGGAAACGACAGGATGAGTGTGTACCTGTGCATGTGTGGCGCACTCCACTGGAGAGTCTCATTCAACATGCTGTAACATCAAGCAAACTGGCTCTTCAAGAGAAGGAGACACAGAAAGAGGTAAGACTGACTCTCTGCTTCTCATTAACATGAAACATGCACTTTTCTGTCTGTTTTCATTAGCACAGACAATCCCTGCTTAACTCTCATGTGCTGAACTTGGAACATTCACTCAAGTTACAGTTACTGAATACACACTGGCAGCTAATGTGGAATATTGTGGGAACGCTGGAGCAGACACATGATGATCAGCTCTTCACGCTTTAGATAATCACACAGGTTAAAAAGGGAACTGCTCAGTTGTTTGTGTTTCTTGAGTGTTTAAAAATTCCGTTTGCTCGGCAGTGGAAAGGGAATGTTGGGAGAGATGGTAACTTGGAGACAAGAGTGTGGAAAGATCAGGGGGAAATGTAATGAACTTGTTTACGTCAGCAGCAGATGGGCATCCATTTAATCTCTGTGTGCATTTGTGGTTGACAGAAGCATCCCGGGCAGCAGTTCACAACTGCTAATTGGGTTCCCCACTTCGGTTATTTCTCAGACTATGTGAGTCTACGTGTTTGACAGCTCTCTTATCTCTTTGAGTAGCTGAGATGTCACTTGGTATACTCAAGCATACTTTAGTTTATCAGAATGTATCCTCAGAGCAGTGATGAGTGATTTTGGACGGAGCCCTCAAGCTGATTTTTATAGAGTGCCACAGCATGTCAGAAACCCTCACAGCTTGATTAGACACATGTAGTGACTGACATGACCAGAATACTACAAACCACTTTTGGGTTTTGAAACTTTTTGTTTAAGCTTATAAGGGCATAAATTATATATATATATATATATATATATATATATATATATATATATATATATATGGGTCTGGGCAACGATTAATCCAAAATAAAAGTTTGTGTTTACATAATATATGTGTGCATAGTGTATATGTGTGCATAATATATGTGTGCAATGTATATATAAATAAACACATATGCATGTATATAATTAAGAAAAATGTGTTATTAATATATCAGATATTTATATTTATACATAATGTGAATTATGTGTAACTATATATAAAGTATATACATGCAAATATTTCTTAAATCTTATATATGCATGTGTGTGTATTTATATATACAAAATAAGATATATATTAGGGCTGGGCAACGATTAATTGCATCCAAAATATAAACATATTACATTTTAATATTAAAATTATATGATAGTAACTAAAATCTGAGGTCATTCTCACTACAGCAGGGTTATTTTATATTATTTATATAGGCTACTATAATAGTACTACTATAATAGTATGTATTAATATGTTGAAGTAGCTATCTATTTTACATTTTACTTCAAGGTTTAGTTCTTTATTTTTTGTTTTTTGTAAATTAAAAAAATACTTTTTATTTCAGTTTTAGTATTTTTTTTGTATACTTATTCAGTAAGTTGCCATGGCAACGTTTCTAATATTTAATTTTTTCATCTATTATATTTTAATTTATTGAAGTTTTATTTTGATTACTGAACGCGATTTTTAATAGTTTTAGTTTTAGTTAACAATAACTGAGTGATGCGATATGGCAGCGGTTGGGTTTGCATGAAACAAGAGTCAGCAATACGAAAGACTTGGTTTCAGTTACCATGTGTGGTCTGATATATAGTATTCCCACGGATGGCAGCAAATACTAGGAAATATCAGCTGAATGCTGTGATTGACCAAAAAACTATTCCAGAAAGCCGTGTAATACCATTAAATATCAATGGTTGATCATTAGTATCTAAGAAACACTCCCCCCCAAAGGAAACACCTGAGGCCAGGATGTGAGCTGATGCATCTCCTCACAGCGTTGATGTTTTTGTGAATGAAACAGGATTTCCAGCATCTACACTAAAAGACTTTTTGAAATGTGGCATTATCAAAAAAAAAAAAGTTCTCTCTGAATCAGAAGCCAAATTTAGGCTCCTAATTTTAGTCTGGACATGTCATCTCTCTAAGGTGAGAAATACATTTAGGAGGAGATAGTATTAATGAGAGCCATATTTCAGTCCCCTTTTGCCCCAGCAGCATTGGTTATCTGCATTTCACAGAGACGGAGAGAAAGAGACATTCTTCTCAGTTACAAACAACCCGCTCTGGATGTCTCTAAACAGTTTGCTATGAATAGATGACTTGAAAGGCAAAAAATTCTTTTATTTCTGAGATCCACCCAGAGTGTGTCATATATTACACCTGATGCTCTGCTTTAAGCATCAATACGCCTGAGGCACAGTTACAGCTATCTTAAAGCTAAGAGCAGTCGATCACACTGCAGATAGGTCTTCCCTCAGGCTCACAGACGGTGTACACAAAGGGGCATCTGAGTCGCTTAAAGACAATGCGCATTAATGGGTGTAATGAATAAGCCTGCCTCTATCGTTTTCACATTACAGCAGAAAACGGACACAGAAGAGTAATAAAAGAGCTCTTTACTAACACAGCAATGAAAAGTGAGAGAGAGAGAGTGAATTGGGCATAAATGGACAGAGAAAGAGGGTATTTACAACTGTTGATCTCCCATTTAAAAGGACAGTCATTCGAAAATGGAGGAGGTCAGTCGAACTACTAACAAACACAAAATATTTTTGACCTTTTTAAATGTATGACCTCCCTATTTTCCTACCAATTCTCTCCCTACTCTCACTTTAGAATGTTTTCCCACCAATGAGCCATTTTATTATGACCCTTTTTAATGTATAGATTTATTAATATTATATAGACAAAACAATATTTTTAATAATATTAAAATAATATTTGAATTATGAGCCTTTTTAATAATAATAATATTATCATAATAAAATATTTAATCTTACAAAAATAAAAGTATGAATATTTAAGATTAGAAAATGGAGGATAAAACGAGTTCATAATAAAATGACAAATTCAAGCTCATATTCCCCCCAGACTAATATGCGTTTCCCACACTTTTTAATAGTTTATTACTTATATTATTATAGACAAAATTATATTTTGTTATGAGCCTTTTTAATAATAATAATTACAGTTATTATTATTACATTAGAAATTATGAAAATAAAAAAGTTACACTTTATTTTAAGGTGTCCTTGTAGGTATACATGTAACATGAATTAACATGGTTAATCAGGGTTAGAGTTAGATTAGGGTTTGGTTTATGTAATTAATAATTTACAGGTAACATGTAACACTGTAAAATAAAGAGTTAATAACAACAACAATAAACAAAAATATTATTTGAGAAAGGGTCATTTCTAACACATCAGTGCCTGATCTGATGTTTGAGGTGTTTGAAGGTGTCTGTATCCCCGTGCCATTCTTTCTGGTTTTAGGTAAGGGGTGTATTGATGGTAACTATGGGGATGAGCAGAGAACAGTCTGTACCATCTGCAGTGCTAATGACGTTAGTTCATGTTATCCAAATGTAACCTTCCTTCTCTTCTCAGTGTTCAGCACATCTCAATTCAACCAAACACATTCTCAGAATGAAACCCTGCGCAGTCTATAGACTTTGCTGTTTGTTTTCTTAAAAACGTGCCATTAAAAATCTTTTGGTGCAATCTATGACATTTTGCATAAAAACTTAAAATGGATTCCATCACCCTCAAAGATTTGCATTTACTACAAACGACTTTATCTTAGAATGCTAGTGGAAGTTTTTTGCAGTTTCAAATTGTCAAGCCAGGCAGAAAGCAAAAGATCAATAACTGAGGGACATTTTTTTTAATCAGGATAACTTTGTATTTGGTCTTGCGGTGCATTTGATTTTGAATTGTGCGGTCGGGTGTATTGAGCCTTGAGCTCTGTAAGAGCTTGCATGCACCAGCTCCATCTCATATACATGTTTGAGAGAGTCAGATTTATTGGGCTGAACAATCCAAAATCATGATATAGTGACTGGTTTTTGAATACAGTTATACTTCCACAAAAATGTTCCTTTAAAATGGACATCAAAAAGTCTGTCCAGTCAGATCTATCTTCAAAAAATATTGTTGGTTTAACTTAAAAAAGGAAATAACCTGGTTGCCTTAAAATTTGAAGTTCATTGAAATGGAAAAATTGAGTTAATACAATGAAGGAGATTGATTTAATCATCAGAAACTCAAAATACTAAGTTATCGGAACTACATAAATTGATTTTGACAGAAGAAAAAAATGTTGTGATTTACAAATCATGAAAGTATTTTTTTTACAGAGTAGTCTATCCAAATACTGTGGACAAAAAGTATCTTTCTTCAATGATGGCCATTAAAAAGTAGGTGTATTGTATATTTTCCCCTGTCTGCTTTACTTCTAGTCCTGCACTAAAAACTGCCTCTGAGATGAATGCAAATGCATACCTCTCTCCAGGTATTAAAAACCTCCTCTACCCAATTGTGTCAAAAAACGTCCCTTTGACACCAGAAAAACAGAAAGGAACTTGTCCACACAACAGTCGTAAGTCTCAGAGGATGGTGTTGCATCTTCTTGCAATCTGGCATTGTTTCCTTCTAAGCTCACATTAGTTAGCAAAGCTTTCTGTAATAAAAAATTTACAAGCAACAGAACACACAAACAATTAGCAAGTAGCTACTCTATTATTCAATGGAGGCAGGGGGTGTTTGGATGAGCATATGAATATAAATATGAATTGATCTTCAGAGAGGAACAATGACTCGAGCGAAGCTCAAGCAGAATTGTGTGATTCTCGTTTGCTCAAAGGCAATAGGAGCGTCTCCCATTCTCTACAGTCTCACACATGCACAACGGTCTGGAGGGGATCGATATACACACTATAGTAAAGCCCTGGGAAAAGAAAGTCCTTCACACTCTTCTCTGCTTCTGTGAAGCGATATGTGATGTACTGCCAGGAGAGACACTGCTAGTGGATTTGGACACAAATGTCAGAGAATTCAGAGCCATACCACACTTCTGTTTCAGAGGGATTGATCTATCTAAGGAAAACACTGCATCTAGCTTTGTGTGGTGTGTGTGTGTGTAGGGGGGTGGTCCAGATCTTCATCTCTAAAATTAACAAGTGTTGATGTGTCTGTTGATGTGTTTCTTTGTTTGTTTGTCTGTCTGTCTGGTTGTCTGTCTGTCTGTTTGTCTCTGTCTGCCAGTCTCTCTTTGTTTGTTTGTCTGTCTTTTTTTCTTATCTGTCTGTCTCTATGTTTTGAATACAAAATGTCCATAAAATATTTTGTTTTGGACCCCAATGACTTTTAATGTGTGTGAAAGTCATATACATACATTCTTCAGCAATATATATATATATATATATATATATATTAACAATTATAAGTGATTAATCAAGCATTAAATTAATTAAATTGATGATAAATAATTCAATTTCAATTAATAATTGAAAATTGAATTAAACAACGGATTAATATTATAAATTTTTGAATAAATTTTCAATTTATAATTATTAAATTCACATCTTAAAGCTGTTCCACAGAACAATGAAATTCACACAGGTTTGGAACAATACGAGGCTTAAAAAAATGTATTTTTGGGTGACCTGTCCCTTTAATGTTTACATACTTTCTGAATGTCCCTGAGTTTCCACGGTAACACTAAAGCTGTTGCATATGCGTAGGACAGTGAGATATTTTTTTTTTACCTTATGTTTTTCGCTTTCTGGTTTTAGAATATAAAAGTACAATGTTGGTTTCACCACACAGCATATGTTTGTTATCTCATCAGACCTCGCTGGAGTATTAAAGGAACAATAAACACAAACAGAGCTGCTTTCTTTGTTTGATTAAGATATGAAGATATCAGCTCTGACATGGCTTAATGCCTGAGTAAACAGTCATTACCTCATTTGAAATGCAGAAAAAGCATTATCTGATTGTTGATACTCAAGGCTGTTTTTTGGAGCAATACGATACAGTAACTGCACATTCCCGCAAAAACACGAGGCAGTATATATTAATACACAGTGTTGATTATTGATCATTTCTGCACAAGATGGGGGGGGAGGGTAGGGGGGGTGGACCCTAATTTGCTGAAGATCAAATATTATGTAAAAAACTCTAGAGACTAAACTAGTATGTCAGGAAGTAAATATTTTAAGGAGAATTTATGTGTGCCATGGGCTTGTGCGAATATGACTGCATATTAATGCACGGTGTGTGTGTGTGTGTGAGACCACCCAGCACATTTGGGTCTCGTAAATTTTGTATTTGTATTTCTTTTATTTTTTATTTATATATGTCTATTTCAATTTATTTATAGAATATGTTTTATTTAAATTACTAATGAGTTTGCACTGGACGGTCCAGTGGCATTTTCTGAATTCTGAGTGACAGTTGGGAGTTGAATGTTGCCATGACAACTGTGGCACATCCTCAAACAACACAGAGATGACCACTGGAATAAAACAGTTTTGTCTCTCTCACACTCATTTATCACTAAAGTTTAGTAAAAATGATCAAATTTTAGTAAACAACAGTTATTCAGCTGCATCTATACATTAGATCAATTAGGTGTTTGTTTCATGAATGATTTTGCTATAGCTAAAATAGAACAGTCTGTCAGTGCGTCATCTGTGTGAAACAACTGTGAGAGAGTCTGAAATATTGTATTATTATTATAATTGTTGTTTGATAGCATGTATACTTGTTTATTTATTTATTTATTGAGAGTTCATGGTATTGAAAACTATGAGTAAAAAAACAACACAGAGATGACCACTGGAATAAAACAGTTTTGTCTCTCTCACTCTCATTTATCACTAAAGGAAGTAGGCCTACTACATGTGTGTGCGTGTGTGCGTGTGTGTGTGTGTGTGGTTTGTTTCCTCCATGTTGGCAAGTGGGAGTGTTTACGACTGCCAACAAGCGATTCAGAGGCCTGTACGGGTGACAGAGGCGGATTGGCATGGTGACGTGTTATGACAGACGGCCAGCTCAGAGCAACCATGCTGTTAGTGTAGCTGTTAACCAAACACAGACATGCTGACTGCTGTTTAAACACAAAGAGAAAGATAAGAAAGATAGATGATATAAATATAAATCTATAGAGAGAGACACATTCACACACCAAGGACATTTTCCCATAAAACCTTTTAGTTCAACATATTATGCAATGCAGTTCCATTTATCCGATAGCTGTGCCACATTTCCCCTCCTCCTGCCTGAAGATCTCTGTCTTAGGCATGTTGAGCCCATTCTCATCCTTTGGCGTCATATAGGTGATGCCATATGACATTTTGTCGAAATACTACGCACATGGCCCCCTTTAGCGTCAATATAACACACAGAACCCAAGGCGTCATACAGACCCTACCCCAGACCTAAACCTACCCATAACAGTGTGTGTTATATTGACGCTAAAGGGTGCCATGTGCGTAGTATTTCGACGAAATGTCATATGGCATCACCTATATGACGCCAAAGGATGAGAATGTGTTGGTGCGACACATGCATTTAATCTATGCGATCCTCCTGCCGGCCACTTTCCCCATCCTGTGCTTAGAGTGTATTGTACGAGAACTTTCTGTAGGCATGGGAAACCCAGTTGACACAACATTTGACAGAATGTGCAACCTGATCAAATATAGAGAGCCAGAATATAATGTGCTTGACTTGACCATCCATTTCACTACTATTCAGGCAAAAACAAATCGACTGTAAATGATAACTCAATTTTTTTATTTTTTTTATTTATAAATAAATGCACAAGCCAGAGTTGAACTCATGCCCACACAATGCAAAAACCACTAAGCAGTAGCTCTTAACACATATAATAAATTATTTTTGTATTATGCAATTATGCTGTGTAGCATGCAGTAGCAAATATGTTAGTATTCCATTCCATCTTTTTTATATATATATATATTATTATTTGTCTCATGATAGTCGCACCAGGATCTGTGAGGATAGAGGCTTTGAAAAGGCTTTAGACAGTGAATTTTAATTTATAAGTTGTGTGGGGACTGGAAGGCTTTATTCATATTGCTCTGTTATAAAATATGCTTTTCACCAAAGACGCCTGGATGGAATCATTAATAAAGAATTATCGCATTTAATCCTTTGCAACATGTTTTATCTATTTGTCATGTGGTATTTTTCGTGCCAAGATTCCCCTCATTAATATTCGCATATCTCATGTCATATCTCATTTCCCTTTTGACAGCAATAATGAAAGGATTGTTGTAACACCAGCTGTAGCTCCAACTAACTTAAATATCAAGCTAAACAGATTGCCTTGCTAAAATAATGCATGAATCCTTCACTCCATTATATTTTATGTTGGAACAGCATCATGACTGAAATTTTACTGTCTTGTTTTGAGAATGTAAAGTTTACCTGTAGCCTATATTTGTGTGTGTTTCAGAGCTTGCAGGATAAAATGACCACCAGGCGGTGAGCAATGAGGGTGTGTTGACTTGCTCTCTCTCCTCACACTGTTTCTTCATGAGGGCTGAGAGATGACCATGAACAGCTGGTCCTTCAAAACCCTGACCGTCATCTTCATCCTTCTGTCCACTGCAGGTAAGACCACATCATATAGATGCCTTTAAAGTGAGTGATTTCTAAGAAACACTATTGATATCTAAAATCAAGCCGATCAAACACACCCTTCCCTTCATTGCTCCGCCCACAAAATGCTCAAACACTCAATGCAAGATTGAATGTCTCTTTGGCTGAAGCAAAGCAAAAATAATGACATTCAAAACTGTCCTGTCACTATAGCTGAAGAAAGGCAAGGAACTCACCGCATCTAAAATTGTCCAAATGAGAAGCATAGACCAAAAACTCCAATCAGGGAAACACTTAAACTAGGCATTGAGAAAGGTCACATGACTGAAACGTTTGCCTTTTTTTTTAAAAGCAGTGGTTTTATCTTGCAATTGGTGGTTCCCCTTCATTGTTAGAGTGTGCAAGCTTGTTTGAAGTGTTTCCCTCACACTATAGCTAACAATACAACAACAGGATCTGAAACAGCAAAACCAATGTTAGTCACGTACTGTATTGAGCAGAAACAACAGAACTTCTGCGTCCATTATCAGGCCTTCCCGCTTAAAGTCACAGCCCCTCTTTTTCCAGTGATATTCCTCTGACCTTTTCTATTTTGTAATGTCTCTCAGCCATCTCACTTTCAATAGTCTTTCTTCTCTCTCCTCCCCCAAAATGAGTGTAATGCGCATGCAGCGTTGAGTTTTACATTAGAATGAACAAAAACTCAGACACATGTGCTCAGAAATCTTGACTTGGACCTGATGCAGACTGAGTCACAATTATAAGGATCTGACTTGGCAACATGAGTCATTCGAGATTGAACATTGGCTTATATTGCCCTTTCTGTCAGGCAAAGTGTGCAGTGATTTGTTCAACAATCATCTAACACGTGTGGAGAGAAATATAATGGCTATGATGTCATTGAAAGCAATTCATGGGCCATCTACCTTGCGTAAATAAAATGCAATGTAATAACAAGCAAGTTTACCATTTTTGTAGCAGTTCCAGTAAGCGCAAAATATAGCATATAGTATATATTGTGTGACCAATACATTTTTTTGTAATCTTTGACAATATTTATCAAATATGATGCATGCACACATATGCAGATTATTATAATTCTGATCCATTTATTCCACAAAAGCAATTGCAATTTGTGGTCTGCAATTATTATGGAAGAAATATTTACTTAGAACTTAATAAACATAAAATGATGCATTGCCACTATATTGCACTATGTATTTTTTATATAGTAATGTAGAACATAAGTATTTTTCCATTTTGTACATGGAACTCTTTATGCAAAGGAGTTGTTCATCTGCTCAATAGACCGCCGAATATTTCATCAAATGGCCCTCACATGAATTCGATACCTAAACCACATTTCCCATTAGACAAACAGCCAGCACAAAAGCCTCAAGCCTGATTTTGCCACGAAACTAAAGGCCAGGGCGATGACAGATGTGTGTTTGGATTGAGCTCAGAAGACTATGCTGTCATAACAGGATGTAAGAGTGAGAGAGGAACTGAATAAGAGAGATATTTAGAGAAGTATTTGGGGAATATTTATACATGAATGCAATGTATAATGCAATTTTTACAGAGCAATTCCCCTCTTGTATTGCTCCACTAGATTATTCACACTGCCGCTCAAAAGTTTGGAGTCAGTAAGATTTTTTTTTTTTTTTTGACAGTAAAGACAGGTAAAGTTACAATTCTATTTCAAATAAATGTTGTTCTTTTGAAATATTAAGCAGCACAACTGTTTTCAACATTGATAATCATGTGAAATGTTTCTTGAGAAGCAAACCAGCATATTAGAATGATTTCTGAAGGATCATGTGACACTGAAGACTGGAGTAATGATGCTCAAAATTTAGCTTTGTTATCAGGACATTTTAAAATCTGGATTGAGTGTACACTGAAGTGGCACAACTGTTTAGTGAATTCTGTCTAAATATTTCAACAGACAAGCAGAGCCAGAAGTATCACACTCAGAATTTTGATATTATTTATGTAACTCCTGAGCCATGTCTCAACCGACAAGAAGAGATAAATATCTCAAATGAACCGAAACCTGTCCTCAAAATGAGCATGGAAAGAAGTAGAGAAGTTTTTTTTTGTTCAGTCCTAATGGCTGAACATCATGGAGTAATGGTGTACAGTGTCACTCATAAAACATTTAGCTGTTATTCTCCAGTGAGTGCAGACATGTTAATTCTAACATCAACAGACACAAGAAGTGACTTGAGGGCAAGGCTCGTTTTCAAACATCTGTGAATATTTAATATTTCTTTCATTGTTTTTCAGTCATGTAACTAGTTATAATGAGCGAGAGCTACAGTCCACCATCATTATAAAACACAACCAGGTAGATCGGCTCTCACTGCCAGAAAACACATGCTGACTTCCTTCATCTGCCAAAACTCCCAAACTTTCACCTTTATGAGTCCACACAGCTCGTGTTTGGCTTATGAAGCATTACATACCCATCCAAAACCGGCCGTTCCCGGAGGTTAATAGTCCTAAACCTATCCATTTATGGCAGCATCAGTATCCTACAAATATTTACCGGACTCTCTTGACTGAGCTCACTTCGATAAGCATGAATGATTTCACTATTCATCTTTGGTTTTCTCTGAGCAAATGTCTTATGCTTCTTATTTGTACGAGGCATTAGCATTCAGACACGTCTCTCTCAGCTGAACTCTGAAATAGCAAAAGTCTGAGGCCGTTCGTTGCCAAGCCCAATGTTAAATAGAACTGGGAACCGATTCCATGGTTTAAAAAATACCAGAACGGAGTGATTTATGACCTTGAGTTATGTTTACAGTTCTTGAATGTGCATTCTTTCATCAATGTGGATAAAACACTGAAGTGCGATTTTAAAACCGCAGCACTGTTATGGAATCTGAAATTTCGCGAAACATATTGGACCCAGTTCAGGTCAGGTGATCGAAATTGTACAGTCATTTAAATTTTTGGGCGTTCATTTGGATGAAAAACTAAACTGGAAAGAGAACACTAGTGTTGTGATGAAGAAGGCTCAGTCGAGACTAAGATCATTTAATATCAGCACAAAGCTCTTAAATGTTTTTTATCAAGGGATTTTAGCTAGTGTTCTTTTTTATGCTGTACTTTGCTGGGGGGGCAGTATATCTGTTGAGGACAAAAATAGGATAAATAAACTGATCAAGAGAGCTGGTTCAGTTATTGGTCTTAACCCAGATGCATTGGAGGTTACTGTGAAGAAGAGGATACATTCAAAATTGAAAACTGTCCTGCTTTTTGAAGGCCATCCACTACACAATTTGTTTAGGGGACTCAGAAGCTCTTTCAGTGAGCGATTGGTTCTGCCTCTGTGTTCTAGTGAGCGGATGAGAAGATCTTTTGTCCCAGCAGCAGTCAGATATTTTAATGAACACTGTTAATTATTGAGTGATATCCGGGCCTTTATTAGTGTTAGTGTTTGATTATTTTTGCACTGTAAAATTGAATATTTCTTTTAGTTGTGTCTTATAATCAGGTTTTTGTCATTCTTTTAATGCATATTTATTTATTTATTTGTCTGTTAGTTGTGTACTGTGTTTATGGTTGTACGGTTGGTGGCAAACCAGTTTCCCAACCGGCATTAATAAATTTTCAATCAATCAATCAATCAATCAATCAATCAATCAATCAATCAATCAGTTGTAGTCTGGTTATTTTTTAGTGAATCAAAAACACTTATGAATCAATGTGATTGGCTACTCACTTAACACGTCATTCATTAAATGAGTGTTGCTTTTAGTTGTTTATATGATACACATTATGAGTTTTGTATGAAGTAGTTATTTATACAAGTGACAATTAATGAATGAACGAATAAGCAAATGAACAATACTTTGTGGTTTAGTGTTCTTGTTTAAAATATGTATTCAGGACCAATTAATGGATTGGATTAAACGCATTAAAACAAATAAAAATGCGAAAAATTGAACCAAAAAATTGCAAGATTTATTTATGATTTGCCGTTTCTGTTTTGTTGAGGACTGAAAACGCTTGTCAGATTGCGAAGGGCAATAAATACAAAAAGAATTCCATGATTTATTTCCAGATATTTATTTTACTAACAAGACTAGCACCAAAATATGAAGCAATAAAAGTCTGGTTCCACCTCAAAATACAAAATCGAAAATGTAATTGGTGCAATAAAGTAATAAATAAATAAATAAATAAATAAATAAATAAACACTGCAAGATATAAAGCCACATTGTGAGATATAAAGTCACAATTGCCTTAATCAAAAAATTCTGTAAAATAGTAATATTGTGAAATCTCTGAAAGAAAACTTGTCGGTTTTGAAATGTAATTTATTATTGTGCTGGCAAAGCATCATTACCCCAGTCTTCAGTGTCACATGATCCTGCAGAAATCGTTCTGATATGCTGATTTGCTGCAACATTTCTTATTATTATCAATGTTGAAAACAGTTTTGCTGCTTAATATTTTTGTGGAAACTGTAATACATTTATTTGTCATACATTCTTATAACAAATAAATCAGCATTTATTTGAAATAGAATGTCTTTGTCAGTTTTGATTAATTGAATGCATCTATGCTGACTTACAAACTCCAAACTTTTGATTAGTAGTGTACACACCAAAAATGGTTTCTGTTGTTAAATTTGGCTCTCAAAGAGACAGCCATATACATGATTTTAAGGGTTAATATTATGATTTTAGACCTGTCAGACCTGGAAACATCGCAGATACGTTCACATTTCATTCTCACTTTATTTCTGGATATAGGACCTGAGGTGTTGCCTGTCAGCACAGAAAACTGGCGCACCAAAATAAAAACACTTAAATACTCCTGTTGCCACAATGAAAAGGAGAATGAAAATATATCCAACAGGTGGCTTTCATTTCACACCTCAGCTTTTTCTTTTGTTCTTTTTTTCCAAATATGAAAGACCTGCCTTGTTCCCTGTGCTTTTGGTTGATGGATACATAGCATGAGCACTGCCAAATAATTTCACATGCAATACTGGGCCCTTTTTGGGGTCAGAGGTGGCACTGGAGGGTTCTCTGGCCCACACTGCTGTCAGCACTGATTTATTCCGATCATTACGAGCCTCTCTGTGTGCCTGCACTCTCAAGTAATTGGCGCTTTTGGTCATTAGCAAGAGGTCAAATGCAGCAAACATTAAATTGTTTCCTGTGTCAGAATATTTTTTGGCTCTCTTATTCAACTTCGATTCCGTGGCAATAAACGTTACTTGTTTCCAATCCAGTTCTTGCGAGTCTTTTCCAGGCCTGCGCATTCATTGTTCTAATATGGATGGGAATCATTGCCTTGATATAACTGGTGGTTTCCAAAGACAAAGTTTAAGATCAGTACTGACACTCTGGTGTATAGTTCAGAGCAACAACGCCTCAGTCACAAATATTAATCCACTGTAAAAATGGAGTGAGGTCCATCAAATTCACAGATCCAGTGTTCTTGTCCATTCCACTTACCAAAGTGCCTTCTCAGACAACTCTCATCTATATGCAAATGATGGCACAGTGCTTTCTTATTGTTCATAAAGCTCAATATGCAGCTTTAGAAATGAGCAGGTGCAATTTGGGAGTGAGTCTATGGGCATTGCTGACGAGCACAGGGAAAGAAAAGTAGGAATGACCAAGATACTTGCTTGTTTATTTGCCTTGTCATTACAATGCTTCTGAGACTCTGCGAACTTCATTATCTGAGCAATTACAGGAGGCAGGATTGTTCGATGGAGAGTTAGTTCACGAGTTGAGAAGCTGTCTGTTTTGGTGCAAGACGAACACGTTTGTTATGTCACTTGTGATCTCTCACTTTTACAGTCCTTATGGTTCTGGAGTTAAAGTGTACCACAGAACAGAAAGTCAAAAAGGACGTATTTAATGAATCTGGCAGCGTTTATAGTAGCCAAAGCTCTAATTAACGGAGACATGAAAGAACTGCTCCGTAAATCTCTCCCTCTGTTCCACCCTCATAATCTCTATCGAGCGCATATCAGAAGTCATTCATCCCACATTGAACCAGATCACGAGCTGTTTGAAATCACTCAGCTTTTTCGACCTTATTCTCTCATCCTCCTCTGTTTTATCTCTGCAGCTCTCTCTGCGCACTTCAGAGTGTGTGAGCCTTACTCCGACCACAAGGGGCGCTATCACTTCGGGTTCCACTGCCCTCGACTCTCGGACAACAAGACCTACATTTTCTGCTGTCACCATAACAACACGCCCTTCAAATACTGCTGCAACGAAACCGAGTTTCAGAGTGTGATGCAGCTCAACCTCACCACCAACTCAGACAGCTATGCGCACAAGTAAGCAACTGGTCAGAATAAAAGTATTTTGCAAGCATGCACTTTGTTATTTTTGGGATCTGAACCAATAACCCAAACCCACATGATTTGTTCAAATGATGCACCCCCATCTAAATTTTTCAAGAGACTTAACAGTGTTCATTTCTTCAACAAAATTATTGAATTAAATTGTTTTGGTAATAACAAAGACGTGACCAAAAAAAGACAGAAAAACGATTAAAATAAAAAATATAATATACTGTTGACAAAAATATGACCGCATAATAACATAAACATGTTGATACTTGTTTAAATTATATAAAATGTTTGAATTTTTGTTTTTCCCCATTTGAGTAAAACTGACTCAAATTGATGAATATGATATGATGAAATATTGATGTTAGATTTAAAGGAATTTTTGTTAAAAGACTACAACAACAACAAAAATAATCTGATGCTGTTATACATTTAGGCTATACTTATATACACCCAGATAATGAAAATTAATGTAAATCTCCATTTCAAACTCTTCACAGTCTTAATGACAAACAAAATCTGATACATAGTGTGAAATAATTCAAAATATTTCTCATTCACACCTTCTCTTGTACTTGTTATTTTAATCTTTGGGTGATAAAGATACACAGTGTACTCTCACTTATTTCCAACATATTCATTCGTAGCTTGTCCGTTCATCTTAACCTTACACAGCCAGTCTGCACCAGATCGAAACGTCCTCTGACAAGGTTCTGAACCATACGCTGTGCAGTTAAAGCACTCTTCTGTTCTGTAATGACCACAGAAGGCTAGCAGTGCCATTCAGATTTTCCCCACCGGCTGTTAAACTAACGAAGTCTGAAAAATTACTCCCGGTCTCTAAAGCAGCCAGCAAGACCATAGATCTGTAGAGTGATGCAGTTCTTCTGAATATTATCATGGCTTGTTTATCCCTCCAGCTGACTGAGGGAGGAGTGAAAAATGTGACAATCAGATGGACTTGCGTATTTGCGGAAAGCCTGGTTTTGTCTCCCATCTTCACACATAATGCAAACACGGTTCAAAAAGCATAATGCAGATACTAAACCACATGCACACAAAAGACAGAAGATAGAAATTTTTGACAGAATAGGTTAAATGCAGGTTTATTTAAGTCAATATTCAAATTTTTTGACGTCAAGGACCCCCAAATATGATGGCCCAATTGCGCAGGATCCCCTTCCTAATATACAAGCGAAGAGTTCAGATGCAAAAGCCTCTAAGTGCCATTTAAAATTTTCTTCTAGAATGATAATTTTTATCAAGCTTGTATATTTAAGTTCAGTGATTTCACTTAAATGGCAATGAATATTACCTATTAATTGTTATTTAAGTGAAATTACTGAACTTAAATATACAAGTTTGATAAAAATCATCATTAAAGAAGAAAATTTCAAATGGCATTTAGAGGCTTTTGCATCTGAACTCTTCATATATATATATATATATATATATATATACTATGTATAAGATGCATTTATACAGTGTGGGAAAAATGTGTGATTTTATAAACACATTACCAAGATTCAATATCTGAATTTTATATTGTATTTAGCTTAAAAGAAAAAAAGGGGAAAAAGTATTTTCGGAAAATATTGACGTTCTATTAAACATTACATATGAATGTCGTTTGAATGTGAAAAGAGAGATAAATTAGAAATAAAAATATTTTCACAAAACAATATGTATATTCACCTTTAATTAACTCATAGTTAACCCTTTGATGCACAACATGGGTCTAAATAGACCCGACTCAGTTTTCATTTTCTATATCTTTGCGAGAAATTAATTTCATCATTCAGTATTCCAGGTATTCCTCAATTAACTTGTTTTTGATCATCACAAATCCTTATTTTTATTTTTCCTTTCTTACTTTTTGAATAAAAATAGTTTTTGTATAGCAACCCCTCTAATGCGCAACATGGGTCTAAAAAGACCCGTATTCATTTCCTATGGTATTTCAGTGATGGCTGAGTGTTTTCTTTGCTGAATCTTTAAAATATATGTATTTTATAATTTGTTATTCCAGGTATTCATTAAATATCTTGTTTTTGATTTCCACAAATCATTGGGTTTATGTTTCCTTTCTTACTTTATAAACAAACACAGTTTTTGTATTTCTACATCAATTTTACATACATGGGTCTAAAAAGACCCGTATTCATTTCCTATAGTATTTCAGTGATGGCTGAGTGTTTCTTTGCTGAATCTTTAAAATATATGTTTTTTTTTTTTTTTATCATTTCTTATTCCAGGTATTCATTAAATATCTTGTTTTTGATTTACACAACTCATTATGTTTATGTTTCCTTTCTTACTTTATAAACAAACACAGTTTTTGTATTTCTACATCAATTTTACATACATGGGTCTAAAATTACCCATATTCATTTGCTATGTTATTTCAGTGATGTCTGAGTGTTTCTTTGCTGAATCTTTAATTTAAAATATGTTTTTTAATCATTTCTTATTTCAGGTATTCATTAAATATCTTGTTTTTAATTTCCACAAATCATTATGTTAGGTTTTTTATTTATTTATTTCTACATCAATTTTACATACATGGGTCAAAAATTATTATTAATCTTATTTTATTTTAACCACAGACATTTTTTTATATATTGTAAAAGATTACAACATAATATCTCAATATTAGGCTATGGTTACCTTGACCTTGTAAACCTAGTGAGAAATTACTTGTGAGGAGAAACATGTCCAATACTATTAGCTAGCTAGCTGTTGACATATTCTAGCTAGCTAATGTTAACTATACACTAAAAAAAAAGATTTTTTTTTTAAAGCTTATTTACATTTAGTAGGCCTAACAGTTCATAATCATTCATATGCTGAAATGATTCTTATACTGAAATCATTCTATGATTGAAATGATGCCCAGCTCTGCTAAAGACAGACAATTCAGCAGCTGGTGTTCCCAGAGCACCAGGCCTGTGTGCAAGGAGCACAAACATGTAGTTGTCATTCGTGAGGCATGTAAGCACTAAGATGGCAACTTGAGATGCCGCTGTACCAGTGTGATTTTATTTTTTCTGTTTTCTTTTCTTTGATCACATTCACCACAATTCAATACAGTTACACTACACCACAGTTCAATTTCAGTGTTATCAGTTATCAGTTATCTGTGACATGTGAATGCTATGCGAGACAAAGTGGCAAATAAACATTTCAAGTGTTAAATGTGTTGTCTAAATTACTTCTAAGATGATTAATTTAACAAAAAGTTGTCTTTATTCTTTTGTTTTATTATGCTTGATAAGTACATTTGATATAGTAACACAAAACCTAGAAAAAAAATGAAAAAAAAAATATTTTTGGTAATTGAAAAAATATTTTTTAAATATTTATAAATCATGAAATTTATAGATAATGGAATATTAAATGCTTAAATAAATTGATCTCAAAAGATAAAAAGAAAAGAAAAGTCCAGCCATGCATTAAATAACATAGGAAATGAATACGGGTTTTTTTAGACCCATGTATGTAAAATTGATGTAGAAATACAAAAACTGTGTTTGTTTATAAAGTAAGAAAGGAAACATAAACCCAATGATTTGTGGAAATCAAAAACAAGATATTTAATGAAAACCTGGAATAACAAATGATAAAATACATATATTTTAAAGATTAGCAAAGAAAACACTCAGCCATCACTGAAATACCATAGGAAATGAATACGGGTCTTTTTAGACCCATGTTGCGCATTAGAAGGGGTATCCATAGCTTGCGCATCAAAGGGTTAAACATTTAATTTAGTAATTTAGCCATCTTGATTTCTGAAATGTGAAAAATAATGTGTAAAATAATTTGTTTAGCAGCCTCTTTCAAAATCCTTGAATTAAATGACAGAGTATTAAATTGGGCCCCCATAATCTTGAATATTTGCATACATCCATGACTTTATAAGTCACGTTATAAATGCATTTAAAACAATTAAAAATATCAGTACAATATCTTGAGAAAAACAAAAAGTGATTATATGATTGTATTGTCACAGCCTGCATCAGCGTTTCTGAAACATCTCTGTTGGCATCTGCTGTGAGTGCAAGTTATTACTCATTATTCCCAAGTGAACCAAGCATCCAGATCAAACTGTCAGCAATGATGATGAAAGAATCCCTCTGACATTTATCCATGGCAAAACAGACAATATGTCATACACTCATGCGTATGAAAAACTACCTTGTTATTTCAGTCATGCATCTCAGATCTCCATCAGAGAAACATTTCAGTCCTAATCCAAAACAAATCTATTAATTTTCAGCCCCACAATGGGACATAAACAATGAAACAGTGACATAAAGGCCAGCTTGCCACCATGCCCTGACTCTAGTCAAGCATGAAAATATTATTTCACCGCTCAAGATCAAATCGATCTCTCTGTGTGACTGTAGAATCCCAGAGCACTGGGTAGCAGTACAACGTCTACCTGACCCACACACTATCCTGCCAAAGCAATCACAAAGACCAGTGGAAAGCAATTACAGCACTTTACTGCCACTGCATTGGCACTGACCTCTCTTTTCATTGTATTAGTTGATTTAAATGAGGGGAAAAAACAGGCCCATCTCCCTTGTATTGATATGACTATTCCTGTTTCTCATTCAGAATGGAGCTTTTTGCAGAGCACAAGTATAACTTCCATCTCTTTGTCGTCCCTGTCGCTTTAGTAACTACACCGCCCTCATCGGTGTGTGGATTTACGGCTTTTTCGTCATGATCCTTCTGGCTTTGGACTTCTTGTACTACTCGGCTATGAACTATGAGTTGTGCAGGGTATACCTGGAGAAATGGGGCCTGGGAGGACGGTGGCTCAAACGGGCCAGGAGTCAATGGCACAGCACAACTCAACATGAGGATGAACACAACATGGGATCAGGCCTGAGTCACCACCACCATCCACGGCACAGTTTGAGAAGCGAAGCACAGAGCCCTACTCTCCTGACCTTCCAAACCTCAACAGCCTGGTGAGTCAACGAACACGGATAAAGGAGATCTCCCAGATAAATAAATAGGGTTATGTCCAGAGAGTCATTGTAGCATAACCCTAATTGATTTCTGATCTTGATTGTGTCATACTCGGACACTTGAATGAATTGGTGATTTTCAAGTATAAAATCGAACAAAGAACTGGTGTGACGTCATTTCGAACAAAACCTTCGTTTTATGTTTGTTTCGGGAGTTCAAAACAGCTTGCCAAATCAAACTTTTCGCTAAAAATTCGCTCTAGCTGATAAACCCCTTCAATCAACCATTAGTCTGTGGCGATTACGTAATAAGTAGGTGTGGCTCTGAGGCTCCGCCTTCTTTAACGTGGAAATGTTCTCAGGTTTATTTCTTCTTATTTCCATTGTCCGCCAGTAAAAACATGAACTTCGCCATCAGGGCCTGTGGACTAATATCTGATATACTCTAGGAAACACTTTAAACACAGAACTTACCAGCTAATCATACATTAAAGAAGGGTGGAAAGCTGACCTTTTAAAAGTCTGCAAATTCTTGGCTCAAGCAAAGGAACTACTCAGACACCACAGAAATTGTTTCAGATGGGATTGAAGGGAAAACATCTTCTAACATCAGGTGCTGGACACATGGGTCCCTCATGGTTAATCTGGCGTAGTATGAGGTAGCATTCGCTATGCCATCTGTTGCATCTGTTGCTTACTGTTGCCTGACAAGACCTTGACACGGCGACCCATGGCATCCAATTCAATCCCAAAGACATTTATGTTGCAAGAAAATGAATTCATTAGAAATGTATCAGTTTCCACAAAAAATATTAAGCAGTATAACTATTTTCAACATTGATGAGAAGAAACGTTTGTAATTTTACAGATTTTTGATCAATTAAATGCAGACTTCTATCAAAAACATCGACCTTGCATTTTTGAATGGTGCTGTATTTTAGCTAAGACTTAGGTCACGATTGAACGATGAACATTAGTGTATACTGTATATCATAATATGAAATATCATTGATGTCTGTCGTAGCGTTTATCCACCCAGATCACATCTTACACTCTGACAGGCAACAAATGCAAAAGCCGGGAAGCTAGAATTTTTTTGAAGCTAGAATTGTCAAATGCAAACTAAACTCCGAAACGATCCATTGAGCTTTCCATTCTCTCATTCTCGCCCCTCCCCTTCCACACCTGTCCTGTCATCAGAGAGTGGAACGTCTGGAGGCAGGCGAGTGGAATCTAGCGTGTAATGTGATGATGATGCGTCTCGCACTTTGAAGAAGCCGGAGAAATAGAGCTCTTGCATCTCAGAGATACGTTCATCTGGCTGTTCGACTCCAAAAGAATTTTGAAGGATAAGGTTAATTGAATACTGGCACACTTGAGATGTAAATTGGCATCAAAGCATCAAAGTCTGTGCTCACAATCACTATAAGTGTGGTTTAAATCACCACCATGAACTTGTTCTACAAATGATAGACAATGATCACTTTAACACTGATGGCCATCTCAGCAGCGCACAAAATCTAATTTATTAATGTGATTTTCTCTGCCTCCTTCCGCCTGGTCGATCTGTGTGTGTTTGTGTGTTGCACAGGTGCTACTAATTAAAGTCCTGCATCTGCATGCTGTTGGCAGGAGATAATTTAGAAGTTAAAGCCTCCCTCTACCCTCCTTCTGACTGTCTACTGTGTCAAGATTCTCTTCCAGCAATCAAAAACATTTTGAATGATTATTTTAAAAAAAAAAGTCCAAATGTCATTACTTTGACGTAACAGGCAGATTTGTGTATATTTAATTTATTTGGGAGCTGGGAGTGTCCAATAACATATTCCTCAAGATATTTCTGGTGCTTACTCCAATGGCAAAGCTTCTTATTTTTCATTAGAAACTGGGGGTGGCAATATACCGTTAACATAATTACATTAAAATGAAGTGAATGTTTGGTAACAATTTATTTTACTGTGTCCTTGTTACATGTTTACATTATTACTATAGTAATACATACTATAGTAGTTACTTATCTATAGTCATTTAGTTATCTATTGCAAATTTCTCAGTAATTTCTACCCAATAAAACATTTTAGAGTTTGACATAAATACAAAAAGATCATATTAATTATTAGCGTTTTAAAGATTTTATTACCAAACCTGTTTTTTTAGCACAATTAATATATTTTGAAAAAATTTAAGTGTTTTTTTAAAGTCAACAAATATCCAGTGTAGTTTTGGACACCATTGACATTCATAGGGACAAAAATGCAAATAATTAATTCGCTAACTCGAGGGCATAGATAATACTGTAAAAGCTGAGGTTTGCTTTTGAGTCATGGTATTAATGTCACAGTTTGTGAGCACACAAGAGAGGTCAGTTTACTTCTGATGATAAGGGCCAACAGTAACTGGATATCACATTGGTGACGCCAAATGAAAAACACTTGATCTGAGTGATGATCAGAGTGATGTTTAGAGCTTTGTTACAGTCCAAACTTGTACGACATGCAGCCTGCGGACTCTGGACTGTTGTTGGCAGTAAAACAAATTGCATATCACTGAATAAAATTACATTTTTCATGGAATCCATCTGATAATAATTAAGCAATTTCTCGACTAGTGGTGAGTTGAGATAGTGATTTCCCGTAGCTTTTGTGATTGCATTTCTCATCTGCTTTGGAGTTTTCTCATCATGATTCCAGATGGCATTGGTATTGGGTTGGAACAGAAATTTAGAAAAATGGGAATACCCTAAAGGTTTTAATGAAATTACAGACAAAAATCACAATCGTATTCATCAGGCATTTAATATGAATAATGAATCGGTGAGCTATGTTAGGAGATGGAGTCTGCACTTCTACTTTAATAACAAGCTTTTAAACCAATTAGAAAGTGCATAAAGCAGAGAATTTGACACACTATGCAAAGCCGACACTCAATTTTCATTATGTAATGGAGCGTAGCAGTGAGCATTGTTTTAAAATTACCACTCAATTTGCTTGTGATACTGAGAGCCTTAGGGGCAATTCTGCACAGTTTGTCGGATCAGTGTGTTACCCCTGTCGGCATCTGTTTGGCATTGGTTGGGGTTTATTTTCACAAACTGAACATGTTCAATCAGCGTTTGTTGTCGGTGTCTGTTGGGGCAGTGTGAACATCACAGTTATTTTCTTAAAATTCAAAACCCAACGGACAGCTTGTTTGTCTGTGCGGAGTGAATTGGCCTTTAGTCTTCTGTAATTCAAACATATTAATTTAGCTATTTTCCTCTGAAAGGACTCCAGTCGGAGAAAACTGATATTTTCATCTAAATGTCACCAACTCTGAGCACTTCCCATCATAACGCCTCTGCTTCATTTCCCAAAACAATGATCTCTCACGGGTTGCGGAGTGGAGGCAATCCCAGTGGGGGCAGTTGGTATTTCTATTGCACACATAGGGCAGTGCTCATCTTGTGTAAATATCTCAGCATGAAGTGACTCACCATTGTCTCAGCTCTCATACTCGAAGGGTTTGGTTTGGATTAAGACCTCGTGTTTGGTTTAGAGGAACTCTCTTTCACATATGCAGATATAACCAGCTGTTTCTGCTTTTCAGTTAATGAAAATTTCATTAATTTCATATTGTATTGCCTTGCAACTTATTCTTCTGCCTATATTTTAGCTGGCTAACATAGATGAGGTTTTTTCTCATTTTTTTTTAAATGACTTGTGATGGTCTTGTAATAAGCAGTAAGAATTTGCTGCAAACCACAAGCCAACAAACCAATCAGCAATGCTTTGCATATGTCGCTGTTTTCCAGCAAAAGTGTGCTTATGACTTAACTGCGTTGTAGGTGTATAATTTCCAGCTTTTCTTTTGTAAAAGAAAAAATATATATTTTAGTGAACAAAAAAAATCTAAGTGCCCCAATTATACTATTTTTAAGCTTCCTTTGTTTTGGAAGTCTTCTATGATACGTTTACATGCATCTAATGTAAAAACAAATGAATTTTCTCAAAATTTACATTGCAGCATCGCCTCTTTTCTCACAATGTCTGAAATGGTTCGATAAAGGATCAGGTCTCCCTTAAAAAACTTTTTTTAAAGAGATACATTGCTCTGATTAGTCAGATGGCTCAATCTATTGCGATTGGTCTACCGCTTACAGCACATGTCGGAAACAAAACAGCCCTTTGTACGCAGTTGTACGAACAGAAACGATGGCACCGGGTTTTACCTTTTCAATTCGTTCCGAGTCCTCATTCTTTGGAAGTGCACACCCCGTTCTCATCCCAAGGTGTCATCTAATTTACACTTTTGACTATGCGTCAACATCCGACGCATATGGCCTTTAGCGTCAATATGAGACGCGCCTCCTAGTGGTCTAACCCTAACCCTTCCCCAGACCTAAACCTACCCGCGACATCTAACTGACGCTAAAGGTTGCCATGTGCGTCGGATTTAGACGCATGGTCAAAAGCGTCAGTAACATGACGCCCTAGGATGAGCGTCATCTTACTGACGTTAAAGGTTGCCATGTGCGTCGGATTTAGACGCATGGTCAAAAGTGTCAGTTAGATGACGCCCTAGGATGAGAATGCGTTGAAGTGCATGGAAAGTGTATTTGCTATCTCTCCGCAGAAACAACCACAAAACATACTCTTCCAGACCTCAGCTACAATAAAGTGTTTGAGAGCAGGTCAAAGGCAGACAATTGTGATCATTGGCTGGTGTTGTGCAAATATATATATATATATATATATATATATATATTTAAAATACAATAAGTAATTCTAATTATGTGTATATATGTACTTCCATTTTGTATAGAATAAAATGATTTTAGTGAACATAATAAATACAGATGTTATCACTGTTTTTTTTTTTCTTTCTGTGGAGAGGGTGTACTCCATTTTGAGTATTTTCCAGGACGCCAGTAGAGTTAGGGAAGACCTGTGTGTGACATTTCAACTCTTTTCATGAACAACGGTGTGTTCCTTAGAGGCGTGTTCAAGACCAACCTACCTGTCTGCGCTCCTGACCTACATTGCTTAAAAGCGTTCTGTAATGCATTATAAATGAGCATGGAGCTCTGTGCAGACAGACCCTTCTCTTAAGTAGGCCAAAGCTCTGGACATTCCCGAAACTTTTGCCAAGACTAAATTCTTAAAAGTCTGACCACGTTCAGACTAGCGTAAGGATCAGGCAGTCGAACAGAGTCAAGCATTCATCATTACAAACAGGATTAGTTTGTAGGAACGGGTTGGTTTAATGTTTTGTCTTTATCTGACATTTCCATTTAAGAGGCTCACAAGTCTCAGTCAAGTGGCAGAGGGATCCAAATGTTTATGCTACTTCTAAATAACTCAAGCCAAGAATACCAGCAGTCAAGTGCCCGTTCTAGCTCTGCCAAAATGGACATTTACTAAGCAACACTTAAAGGGATCATACACCCAAAAAGGGAGTATTATTTACTCACCTCAAACCCATGTTTACTTTCTTCCTTCATTGGGACACAAAGTGTTTTTTGAAGAATGTCCTGGTCACTTTTTTCAATATAATGATCGATAAATGTACAATAAGAATAATAAACAAAGACAGAATATCCATGTTAGGGTGGAATGAATGTTGTTTGGGGATGTCTAAAACTAAATACAAGTGGTGTATAGTATATACTGTATATATTAAAAGGAAACAGAAATGTGAAGCTTATACTTATAAAAGCTCTTACATTCATCAAAACTTGTACATCATCATTTTTAGGTTAATTTTAGGGTTTTATCATGGCAGTCGTTGCCATGGCAGCAAAATTGGACTTTTTTTAACATTAAAATCATATTTTTGTGCACATTGTTTACATCTCGTGGCTCTGCTTTTGAAATGATGAATATTTTAATGTTTACAGATTGGTCCCATTCACTTCCAGATTTTAGCTGAGTTATTTTTTTTTAAGAAAAGGAGAGACAAAGTGGTTATAAAAAATACGCCACAAGTGTTTAACTTACCGCCCACTTGTATTGTGAACCCACACAAATGTGTCATATCAGTTCATATTTATGATATATTTATGAGCTGAGGCTTCTAAAATACATTATATTCATTTTGTTTATAAAAGCTTTTTGGGAAAGAATGTAATTTCAGTGTGACTTGTTTTAGGGCTTATTAGCCATCCAAAATGTGTGCAAGCGTGTTGTCTCTCCGTACAGTGAAGTAGATCAACATGTAAACAGGTTGCGATGCAATCTGAGATTGTTTGTGAACGCACAGCTCAATCGTGCTCTGGCTTGCCCATGGCTACAGAGCTGGTGTCTGATTATAACATCCACAAGGGCCTAATCAACACATCTGTTCCACTGGGAGATCCTGTTTTCCCTTAAAAGATCGTCGTACATCACCGACAGAGAATACATGCTTGTATTGTAAAATACCATGTATTTAATACTTTTATTAGAAATTCTGATGCCTGAGCCACAAATATATGGGTGTCAACTGACAGATTAAATTTTAATCTTGATCTGCGCTCTCTCTCTCTCCGTTTCTCTAGATATCCAGCTTTGATCCCAAGGATATACTTGGTATGACAAAGGAGGAACAGCCAGGAAATGGAGATTTAGTTTTCTTAGACTCTTTTCCTGGCCCCATCTACATTTACGACACGGACTGTGCCAGCGACCTCCTGCAGCTCTACTGGATATGGCATTTTCTCCATGCTGATGCTGAAACTGACAGCTGCAAATGACTTTCAGCTGGATCTACTTTTCGACAACCGTCGAAGGACTTTAATGAGAATGTTGTCTTTGACACCCACTACCTTGCCTTGTCATTTAGAAAGTTAAGATGCAGGGAATAGGACTTTGCAAAAAGAAAGAGAGGAGACTGATGGGTCCGTAAATCAATTTGACCCAACAGGATTAACCACAACATCTTCTTACAGTATTTAAGGTGCGGGCACATTTACTATTGTTATGCGCATTTCCAGTCATTTCAATAGATTGGGAATTCCACGTTTCGGGCGGAAAATTTCCTGATGCAGATTTCCAAGTTGCTTGGTTTAAGTTGAATGAGACTTTACATTGCTATAGTACAATAGACAAAAGCTTTTTTGCCTTCAACTTTTGGCAAAATGTTGCAAGAGACAGATTTCAAAACTGACTCTTATACGGAATTCCCTAATTCTGTTTCAAGGAAGTGACATCACGATTTAGAAAACTCTGAAACATTTATAACTACTGAAATTTTAGGTTGGGGAAATAATTTCAACATAAAGCAATAGATAATAATAACTATTAAGAGAAATGTTATTTATCGACCAAAAGAACCCTGAAACTTGACTAAGTGGCAATGCTTCATGGAGTGTAGATCTTGATAATCAGATTCCTGACGGTCACTTCATTGTAGAAATACAGTGACATCATTGTTTTATCCCTAATGAATTTGTGCACTGAGTCGAAACCAACTAGACATAGGTAAAAGTAGCCACTGTTAGGCTGTGAGTATTCACCTGCAATAACACACAGCGTTGTGCTGAGTTGTGTTGTGTATAGAGGAGAAATTGTTGTGATTTCGTTTATCTATTTAAGGTGAAACTAATAGTTTTCCCCTCTTGGAGGGAAGAGAGATATGTTATGTTTTGGAGTAATAAGTTATAATGGTTATAAATTGCCTTACGGTAAATCTGTAGTACATGCCTAGCACCTTGTTCTGTGATTGTGGTTGGTACCTCAGTTGAAGTGTGATATGGCCGTCCACCTGTTCAACTTCTCTCTGTTTTTATTATGGGGATGGTGGTTGGGTGGGGGGTGGGCACTGGAGTTGTAATTGCACTTGCTAACTTTTTACTGTTACAGTCTGGGAGAAATAAAGATTTATCTTTTGCAGTGTTTTTGGATGTCTATCGATCTCTCTCTCTCTGTGTATATATATATCTCCTCCTGAATTTTTTTTATACACTACCGTTTAAAATTTGGGGATCAGTATAACTTTTAAAAAACAAATTAATACTTGTATTCAGCAGGGCTGCATTAACTTAATGAAAAGTGTAAGCGCATTATTTAAAGTTACACATTCTTCTAAAACGTCAAACAGTTATATCATGATAATTTCCCATCCTCTCACATGAAATATAGCCCTTTTTTGCTGATGTGCCTTTAATAGTGTTGTGTATATGTCCTCTGAAACCTCTAAAAACCTCTGAAACTTCATGGTAAGATCCCTTTACATTTATTTTACACACCACTCAGTCAAAGAAAAGTGAGACCCAGCACTCTCCAAAGTTTTCCATCTCACCTTAGAATCAGAGGAACGACAGTAGCAGCACCTCTGTCTTCACACCGAAGGCGCCTCTGGTGGACTGGTGGAGAGACTCCTCCTGCTCTAATTGGTTCCAGGGCTGGAAGTTTGTCTCTGAGGGGATAGCACAGCTCAAATGAATGTGTGTGACTGGCTATTTCTGAACTTCCTGTCTGAACATGGAACCCTAGGCCACAAAAGTGGCACACCAGCCCTGTCTGAGTGTTCAAAACAGAGAGTCACATCATTAAAGCTAGAGAGATGACGAAGAAAAGTTCAGAGAAACGTGTGGCACAGGTGTGAAACTCAAAAAAAGAAGAAAAGGTCAAGCTACAGACATAAGAGATAAGAGAAATATAGAGGAAGGAAATGAGACAACGGGAAATAATCTGAGAATCGCTTTCATTTGTCACTAGTTCGGAAAGCTTCGGATCCGACCTCAACAACAAATCACAGAAACTGCATTAATCTATTAAGGTCTATTTATAGTCCTGCCGCCGTCTTTTGTCTGAGGGGAGACTGGAAGCGATTCTTTGGTGGGTGTGAAGTTAGCATTAAACGGATTAGCTCATTAGGCAGAGGCAGGGCTCTTTACGTATGCATTAAAACTTCATCATGCATGGTCTCGGAAGAGCTATTAAATATCACAAAGCCCACTAGACACACACCAAAGTTATATTCACCTCATATAGGCAATGACCCTCACGGGACCGTGTTTGATCGTATGTGAATCCATTTCGAACTAATGACTTCCTAAAACCAAGATAAACTGTCTGCCCCAGTTTCAGTGTCTTTCAGTGGTGCCCCTTCCCAGCACGTCTCTTTATCTTTTCTGATATTGCCACAAATGGGTTATTCACTGTTGCTTTCCACACCTGTTCAAATGTAGATGCTCTCCAAACAAAGGCATCTAGGGCAACAATGTATGTCAAAGCCTCCTATTTGGCCTGTAAAAATGCATTGATCTAATGATAAAAAATCAATGTACAATGCACTTTCAGAGTTAAAGGAGTAGACACTAAAAAACTTTTGCTGATAATTTACTCACCCCCATGTCATCCAAGATGTCCATATCTTTCTTTCTTCAGTCGAAAAGAAATTAAGGTTTTTGATGAAAACATTCCAGGATTTTTTCCATATAATGGACTTCATTGGGAACCAAACGGTTCAAGGTCCAAATTAGAGTTTCGGTTCAGCTTCAAAGGGCCTTAAACGACACCAGATGATGAATAAGGTTCTTACCTAGGACCCTTCGAGTCATGACTCGAAAAAATTTGTTCATTTTAATGAACGAGTTTGAACAGGAGAGTCACGAACGCTCATCACAGAACAGAGCAAGGTGAGCATTTGTGCTTATAAAACTTTAACTTTTTTATTTATTTCTGAAATGACCGATCGTTTCGCTAGATAAGACCCTTATTCATTGTCTGCTGTCGTTTAAAGCCCTGTGAAGCTGCACTAAAACTCTCATTTAGACCTTGAACCATTTGGTTCCCATTGAAGTCCATTATATGGAGAAAATCCTGGAATGTTTATCAAAAACCGACTGAAGAAAGAAAGACATGGACATCCTGGATGACATGGTGGTGAGTAAATTATCAGCAAAAGTTTTTTGAAAAGTGAACTATACTTCTTTAATTGACAATAAGAAAGTGAACACTGCCTTGATTTGCTGCATTTTAAAAGCAAATTAATAGTTGTTTTCTTTCCAAATTGAAAATGATTCTAGCAGGGTTATCATAGTTAACTAAAACTTCAATGAAAATGAAAATGGAAAATAACAATAAAAATGTATTCGAAATGTGCTTCCATTTATTCATTATTTGTTACATGCCATTTACACCATAGGTGTTAATTCTAACCCTGTTTGATTTAAAGATAATCTATCATTAAATTTAACTATAAAACACAAGCTTCATTTAAGTTTTAATTATTGGTTCTATCATTTTCCATCACATAATAAATCAATTATACATATTTAAGAGACTACTTTAATGTATTTTTGTGTTAGTTATCCTTGTTTTATTCGATTAATAAAATAAATGTAGCCTACATTAATGTTTTATCCAAAACTTGAGGCTGTGAATGTAAAGCCTGTCATTAATTTTGACAATAATATAGTCCAAGCTGTTTTGCCATCAGCATATTTTTCAAAATAATTACAAAATAATTAAATTGGGTAGACAAGAGATTTACACTGATGTTTCCTGCAGTAAAGTGACTGACTATGACCCCAAGCCACATTACAAAGTTTCTGTGTCAAGGTGTGTTTGTGCCTTTCATTCATCCGATGTCTTGAGGGCCACTTGCGCATGTAGAACAGATTGACACATGACTGAAACTGCTGTCAGGTCAGACTAATTATTTTTTTCTATGTGAGCATTGCATACTTCTCCAATTAAAATCATTGTTATTCTGACTGCAGGTCTTGCGGCGCTTCAATCGCCACTTTATATGCTTTGAATCAAAAATAAGGTCTGACATTTTTGATGTAACTCAATTTTATCTTAATTCAAGATATATATATCATTTATTATACACACACACACCTTCACTTCTGTCGTCACACGTCTGTCCTCAATTCTTCACGGAAAACTAGGTAGGGACTGGAATCCGCTCTATGAAACAAAGCAAACACACAAACAGGGACACGGTTCGTGAGCTTTTCACCCAGACTTATCAGCTGAATGCTGCAAGAGTTTGGCAGATGAGGGAATTTGTCCTCGTCAGGGTCTCGCCCTATGGAATTCAATCACCAGTGGCTAATCTGGTTTATTTGGCTTGCATGGGCGCAAAGGCAATTTCCAGCTAAAGGCATTAAGGGCTTACTTCAGCCAGGTAATTGATTGTTTGAGATGAGGAGGAAAATTAGATAACACAAATGGAGGGAGAGAAAACGGTGCCCCTGTGTTTCCCAGTTTTGTAAAGCTAATGAAGAGAAGACAGAAAACCGAAAATACAGACAAGTTCAAATTAAACTGGACAAATGTTTAAATAGCCCTTTTTGTTCTTTAAAACTGAGGTGCCCCTTTTCATTTACCTGTGTTTTTAGAAACTCATTATGGTGTTACAGAGAACTGCAGGCCTTTGGAATTAATCGAAAATATTCTGATCCTAAAGCCTAACTTGAATTGAATCGCATGTATTGTGTGGTTAATATCCAGCTGGATCAAATACAGGAATTACATTTATATCATTGATTACTATGATTTTATAGGAAGTCAATTTTGGAAGGCCAAATGATTTGAGTTTTCATAAAATCCTCATGTGAAAATGTATGGGTTAGTTTGAGATTAAAAAGAAAAAAGCCCCTAACATATAGCCTGCAAATGCAGAGTTAATGTAAGATTTCCTCTTGCAAAATGACTCCTGCTGTAAGTGGAAGGTCGGTGCACAGCTGGGCAGGCGCCAGTCTCTCCCATCCCAGCTGGAAACACTTACAGAGTGAATGGACCAAAGGACTCCAAACAACCACCCACAAGTGTCTGCCCTTTGCTGCTTTGTGTTCTAATATAGCTATATTGATTTAATATTTCTCTGTGAGGGGAAAAAATAATAATAAAGAGAGGCAGGAATCTTGCTTTTTGGGAATCTTTGATGAAAGACAGCTTGCTTTGCTGTAGATACTAAAAAATAGAACAACAACTGGAGGGGTAATTACACTTTTAAACTTTAAAAAGGATGCAAACGCACCATTTAAGTGTGACAAACCCATGCACTATAATTCCTAGCATATTTCTTCATTTAGTCCGACTCTCTCTCTCTCTCTCTCTCTCTCTCTCTCTCTCTCTCTCTCTCTCTCTCTCTCTCTCTCTCTCGCTCTATATATATATATATATATATATATATTTACATAAAGTTTGAACATGACAACTCAGAAGCAATTCATGGAAACTGCTATATTACTTCTGAGTGGGGCCTTTGAGATCATAAGTATAAAGCTTCAATACATGTACTTTATTTTCTCATGCTGGGATTTCTGAATCACAGCTTACACGGGGTTTTGCAATGCTTTTAAAACCTGGAAGGAACCAGCTTTCAGGGTCATGAACAGCAGGGAACAACAATGCTAAATGCAACTAACCTATAACTGAAAAATTGGCTATTTAGCTATGTTTTAATGGAGTTTTCAGCTTTCCTTCTTTGCTGGGGTCACAGTGACCCCAAACAGAAATATGTAACGATTAAATTAGATTTAGCATGGTTTTAGTAGCCTATGATTTTTAGTTTCAAAATCATCTGCTGGTAATATTAATTAATATCCAGGCCTATGTCCATACCCTGAAATATGGTAATAAAAAATAATAATGTTTACATACCAGTTCCCTTCTCCTTGTTTTTGTTATTGAGAGTGGCTTGCACTGCTGACAAACACTGTGAAGGAAATGGAGCAACAGTGAGCACGTGCCGTGGAACTAATTCCATTGGCGTTGTGCTGCTGCCATCTGGCGAACGGTGCAAGTAGTGCAAAGACTATAATAATACTTATAAAAAACCTGAACTTACTTCTGAGGTCCGTCAAACAATTATCACAACGGCCGCTATGTGAACTTTAAAAAAAAAAAATGTTTATGGTAAACTTGTATTTAAAAAAAGTGATAATTGACTAATGACAGTAACCGCTCCAGTAAAGTGGTCGGTACTATTTGGTTACCCAGATAGCACAAACGTCTGCAAGATGTCTACTTCATCTGGAAAGCATCTGCTGTTTACTAACATCTGATAGACATCGTTAAGATGTTTAACATACATTTGAAATCATTACATCTTAAAGACATCTTCTAAACGTCTGTTTGACATCTGACAGGACTTCCAGATGTAAATACACAGATCAAACATACGTCTCTGTAATAATGTGTGCTGCCATGTTATCTTAAGAAATATTAACTAGGTGTCTGTTGTGACTAAGATCTATACACTTGCACTTTAACCACTGATAACATGAACCACATTATTACTAAGTTCCTGATTGTATGAGAATATAGCCTACATGAAAAAAATGTCTAGTCACATAGCCTGAAGGCCAAAATTTTATATGCCCTCCCCTCCCTCTCTTTTTTAGTCTGAAAGTCCACTTTCAGATTATATGACTGTAGAATTTTTGTCCCGCAGTCCGAGGCTTTTTCTTCTGAGTGAATCTGCAGGTGCCTCTTGAGGTGGTAAGAACTAAAGACAGTCATTTTACACTGAAAACACAAATAAGGCCAAACGCCTGAGTGTGTGATGCCTCATGTGGACCTACAGGTCACAGGACTGTGTAAAACTCTTTTCAAAGTCTGGGCACTGAAAGGTTTGTGTTCAGTCTGGTAGCTCCAACAGAGACAAAGGCCTTTCTGCAGGAATGGTCTTTGCTTTCTAAGTGTGAGAGTTTATTAAGGGTCCGGCTGGCCTTTAACTTTTCGCACTTGGTGCATTTGAAAGTTTTCGAAAGTCTGTTTCACATTCAGTTCACAAGAGTTTTCCATATTACATTTTTTACACAGTGTACACAAAGCCATTCATGGTTTCTCTTTAAAATGGCTCCTCTGGTGTTGCATCAAAGCCCATGGTACAGAAACCCCTTTCCACAGTCCGTGCAATGGTCTCTCAGGCTGATGCGTTATAGGAGTTTAAGCAGATAAAGCTGGACTGACATTCGGTACACTTATTGGGTCGTTCCTTTGTGTGGAGCCACTTGTGTCTGATAAGAGAGTCATCTTGCAGCGAGTCTCTTATGTGGGAGGCAGGGATGCTAACAAGGACGCTAAAGATCATAGCCTCTATCATCAGTCATGGCTCCTCTTGAGATTTTTCAGTACCATCTGTTGATCTGTGGTCTTCTGGAAGTGTAAGCCCAGAATCATCCAAACCAGAATCTCTTGCAGGATCTCCATCTTCACCTTGTCCTACCTGAGTCTCTGTGCATTCAAATGACTCCAGGGTCTTTCAGTCAAACATCTGAACTTGACTTACACTCTGCTGATGGAAGTCACCCGCTTTAGAGTTGGACAGGATGCATTTCCTGCACTCATGGACTGACAAGAGACTGGAAAAAAATGCAATGAAGGTTAACACAGTATGAAAGACAACCATTATAAATCGTATGTAACAGATTTGATCAAATTCTTGGTATCTAGATGTCCAAGGTTCTTGTGGTGCTTAAGCTATGACTTAAGGAATTTGACATGGCTCCATGTCTAAGACTAATCAATTCTGGGACTACTTCTGACACCAATGTAACAGAATCTGCCAGCATCGCCATCCCATACTGCATCACATCATTTAGCTGCACAGTTCTCCACTCCACAGCAGAAATGAGACATATAGGAGGTAACAAGAGGCGCAGGGCGGAGAGAGGGACACGAATTCTGTCCGAAACAAAGTCATTTTAAGACTGGGTTGATCTTTCAGTCTAAATATTGTAACAAACTAAATGTTATGCATCTAAAGATTTAATTCAAACATGTAGAGAAAAAGAAAATTAGATTTTAACACTTGCAGAATATCTGTTATGAACTCTCACCCAAGTGCTCTTCTTGTTTGGGGAATCCAGTATTCATGATGAGGTAATTTATCTTCAACCATCATTGAAGAAAAGAAGTGAATTGCAGATGTCACGAGTTGCATGTTATATAGTTCACTTTTGATGTAAAGGAATGGTTAATTTACCACGCATAATTACGTTAGTCATTGTTTTTGGATTTCAGGGTTGACACTGAAAACTGCTGTGGTAACAACTGAAAATACAATTCCAAATTTAAAGCTTAATAAATATACAAATTAAAATTGTATATTGGTATTTTAATATTAAAATAAAATAGAAAATAAATAAATAAAGTGTTGTACTATACAAAATAATCACAGCTATATATGATGTCATTCATGTTTTAAAAATCATAAACAATTTCAAAACTGTATAAATAAATAGGCCTAAATAATGTGTTATACTGTACAGAATAACAATCATTATGATATAGCATGCCATTCACGTGTTTTAAAAATCAATTACAATCTCAAAACTGTTTTAATTTTTTTTTTCATTTACTTTTAATTTCCTTTACAAATCTCCCTGAACTACATGCAAGTCTGCTCTATGTTAAAAATTGAATGGATTGAGGAACAGCACCGCCCTCTAAAAGCGGCGTTTCCAGGCCTGACCAATCAAATTCACGTACAAGCCCACATAATAAGCACGTTTCAAAAGAACAGGCTACAGCAGAGTCATTGAGAGAAAGCTGCGACAGTGTGCAGAGTGCAGACTAACAAGTGTTTTATTTTTTATCTGATAAGTGCTCTATAGTAAAAGTCACCATGACATTTGTAACTCTCAATAATGGAGCTAAAATGCCCATTGTTGGACTGGGAACATGGAGGGTAAGTATTTACGTTTTTTTCCCTTTTTTGTACTGTACAATTTGATTCTGTATGATATTAATTATGGTAAATACTTGTTTTTCTGCCGTTGCTGTTATTGTCGTTTTCTAATTAAACACTAGAGGTTTATCTTTTTATTTTAAACCATTCATTTATGAATTATAATGCTTTTCTTTTAATGCTCACTTGATCTTTTTTTTTTATTTATTTATTTATTTTGATAATAAATGCAAAATCTACTAAGATAAGATTTAATATTAAAATTTTGAAACCTTCTCCAGTCTGCTCCAGGTGAGGTAACAGAGGCTGTGAAGGCAGCCATTCTGGCCGGCTACCATCACATTGATGGGGCCCTTGTCTATGAAAATGAGAATGAAGTTGGAGAGGGTGTACATGCCATGATTAACCAAGGAGTGGTAAAGAGAGAGGACCTCTTCATTGTTAGCAAGGTAGTAACACATATTAATGTAAAGATTTGTCTCAGAGGCACATGATAGGAAACATGGTCCCATAATGCCAGTCATGTGCCTTGTAATTTCACACAGCATGAATCATGTCAAAGATCATACACAGTTGTGCATTTACATAACACGTATTGTTGTGTTATAAATGCACTGTTACGTCATGCCCTAATTAATAATTACTGAAATGCAAGTCATGGTTAGAACAATAAAGCTTGTAGCAAAAAGCCTAACAAATACATCATGTGAAAGAGACATTGGCCATAAACAAATGCAAAACTAAATCCTGTGTCTTTTGAAGCTGTGGTGCACTTACCACGAGAAACACTTGGTAAGAGGAGCCTGTGAAAAGACCTTAAGTGACCTCAAACTGGACTACGTTGATCTCTACCTAATGCACTTTCCCATGGGCACTAAGGTAGTACTAAACAAGAACGTATTGTTTATGTTATGCTACATTTATTTTTATTCATGCTGATCTGTGTATTCAAATTGGCAGCCTGGAAAGGATCTTTTCCCATGTGATAAGGATGGCCAAGTAATTCCAGACAACAGCAACTTTCTGGAAACATGGGAGGTAATAAGGAGTAGAATAAAAACTCAGTTTGTAACTCAGGCTCACATTTAGTTGATCAAAGAAAAGTTTCTGGTTACTTGAGTGTTAAATTGTTCTCACAAAGGCAATGGAGGAGTTAGTGGATGCTGGGTTGGTCAAGGCCATCGGTGTCTCCAACTTCAACCGGGACCAGATTGAAAAAATCCTGAATAAACCAGGGCTCAAGTACAAGCCTGCCAACAACCAGGTATTGCATTGGTTGCAATACATCCTGAAGAATTTAAAACAGATCAAGACTTTATTGTTCAAGTTCAAGTGCCAAAATCTTTTCAAAAATTACTTTTCACCTCCAGATCGAGTGCCATCCATATCTGACTCAGGAGCAGCTGATTAACTACTGTCAGTCCAAAGGCATCACAGTCACTGCTTACAGTCCTCTAGGTTCTCCAACCAGACCATGGTAAGTACTTTTTTCTTTAATTTAGTCATCAAATTACTATTTGATATCACAAGGAATGCATTACTTTATAAACATTACACATCAATATTTGAGTTACTAGTAATGCATGTTACTTTTCAATTTGCTTAAACATTTTTTAAACTACTGAATTCAAATTCTCTCTTCTACGTAACATAGTCATTTAGACATGTGTGCACAGGAACAGACAAAAGCCACAAAAGTAACAAAAAACATTACTGCCAACATTCAAATCTAAGAGTTGTACAGTCAGTAACATAACCAGTAATGTTAAGAGATATTTTGGACGGCTTTCCATAACTTTCCATTAAAGTTAATTTCTTTTTAGAGTTATGCAATATTATAACGCGTTGTTAACTTTTACTTGCACTATAAATCTATCTATCTATATAAAATATGGTATTGGCCTATATATTACAAGAGATTTGACTTTCTTTAGGGCAAAGGCAGATGAACCATCACTACTGGAGGACCCAAAGATCAAGGCCATTGCAGATAAGCATGGTAAAACCACAGCACAGGTAGGTGTAAACTTGGATGTTTTATTCTTGTTAGTTCATGTTATGGATAAATCAACCTAAAAGAAGCACATGTTCAAGTACAACTTGTCAGCTGAATGTTAAGACGACCCTTAAAACATTTGCATTACACACTTTTACTAAATGCATTCCTCCATCATAAGACTAAACAGGGAACTTTTTTTTTCTAGGTCCTAATCCGGTTCCACATGCAGAGGAATGTTGTGGTCATTCCCAAATCTGTAAACCCCCACAGAATCAAAGAGAATTTTAAGGTACTCTCATTTTAATTAAAGGATAAGTTCAGTGTTTTACACTTAAAGCCCTGTTTTAAGATCGTTTCTGATTAAAATAAACGATTTCAGATTAAACTTTGGACACGTGCTGCTGTCCTGACAAATTTGGTTGCATAGGTGCACTGGAACAATCCGTCATAAAACACATTAAAGTTTAGTTTACAAAGACGTGAAACTCACTGAGTGGTCTGGGGTGTTCATGTTCACACAAAAATCACTGCAAAAGATGCTTTCCAACAGGTTTTATCTTAGTCTTTGTCCAAGTAAAGTCAATGGAGTTGGACAAAAACTATGATAACTTTGCACGTGTCCTACATGTTGCACCAGCACTGAAATAAGAATAACCTGATCAGTTATGATGGTTAAGTATAATCAAGATTTACTTGTTTTATTCCTGCAGGTCTTTGATTTTGAGCTGAGTAAAGAGGAGATGAACACCATACTGAGTTTTAACAGAAACTGGAGGGCTTTTATGCTGGAATGGTGAGTCATCATTATGAACATTTGCAGTGGACTTTGTATCTGTGCGTGTAGTATTAAAGTGAACTAAAATCCTCCTTTACCATTTTATTGCAGGGCTTCCAAGCATAAGGATTATCCACTGAATGCAGAATTCTAAAGCTTTAGTAAATGATGTTTGCATATTAACTGATGTTAAATATGACTCCTGCATTTCCCATTGGGAATACATTAAGTGTATGAATGAAGTATGTTATGAGCAAACCCACATTATTAGCATTTATTCAAGTGTAATACAGCCATTTAAGGGACTAAATGTGGTTAAATGTAAAGGCCAAGTGAGTTTACATTTAAAAACATAAGCCAGAGAGCTGTTTGACGCAGTGCTTTATTTGGGTTTTCAAAGCATTCATCAATATATTGTAAAGAAAGCTGCTTTTACAAACTGGAAGTGCTTTGTTGTCATTTTGAAAACAAGGAGTGTGCATATAAAAAAATATATATACATATTCTCAGGACCAATACATTCGCTTGTTATCTACCCAATTGTGCAAAATGTGACATTGTTCCAATAAAAAAAAAGTTACAAGTGCATGTGTTTTTTGATTAATTGGGTTGTTTCGTCATGAAACTTTTTACATTTCCATGTGTACTCTAAGTACTAACAGCTTAATTGTCAATGTATTAACAAATTTAACCTCCATGTCTATGGTAAGAAGCATTGTAAATCAAATCAAGGATGACCTGTAAGGAAATTTCTCAATAACAAGTTTCGTAATGCAAAATGAAGAGCATTTTCACACTGATCGATGACAAAACAGCATTCTCTGGAACAGAGGAACTTATTTTCATCGAACAGCACGTTTTGAGATGTCTTCTTTTAAAACTCAGCGTTAAATGGGTAGTCTTTGTGCTTCACACCCCTGCGTTGATGGATGTAGAGAGAATCACATTAAGTTTAATGATAAATAAATGATCATTATTGATTATAATAAAACATTATTATATAATTAAAACGTTTTTAAAAAGTTTATTACACATTTCTGAACCGACCATAAATATAATCATTTATATTGGCTGCGTTTCTGTGACTTCAATAGCAAAATTTCCTGATATTTCCCGGTTGACCATGACCTTGGGAACCCTGTGAAACATACTCACCAATGCATTGGACAAGCCCTGAAGTTCTTGTTGAAGCCCATAATGGTCTTCATATCATCCTCACTCATTTCAAAATCAAAAACCTGTGAATATAGACAAAAATATTAAAATACAAGGAGCACTGTGATCCAATGACATCTGGTGTTGAACTTACTTGAAAGTTCTCTTGAATACGTTGAGGTGTGATAGACTTGGGGATGACGATGACTTTCCTCTGAATATGGAAGCGGATGAGGACCTGTACATTGATGTCAAATTGACATTATTATATGAATCAATAAGCTATGACATAAGTAAGATGACAGTCTCCTTACCTGGGCGGTTGTCTTTTTGTGCTTCTCTGCAATGGCCTTAATGTTTGGGTCCTCAAGCAGTGAGGGATCTTCAGGTTTAGCCCTAAGTTTGAGACAAAATGTGCAACTTCAACCGTTGAAGCAAATAAATGTCACATGCAGCAAAGCATCAACAAGTGGTAACGGCTGCCTACCATGGTCTGTCTGGAGAACCTAGAGGACTGTAAGCAGTGACTGTGATGCCTTTGGACTGACAGTAGTTAATCAGCTTCTCCTGAGTCAGATATGGATGGCACTCAATCTGAAGAGGGAAATGTATATACATAAATCAAGTTTAAAACTTGTAGCTCTATTAAATAAATACACACACATTACCATTCAAAACTTTGGGATCAGTATGATTTTTGGTCCCACTAGATTAGGTGATTTTAACTATGTGCTAACATTTAAATTAGTAAAACATATACAACAAAAGTTCAATATCATATTATTGATACTAAGTTATTCTCGTCTTTCTGCCCCAAAATAATCATTATTTCTGCCAACCACAAAGCAAGCAGTGTCCTAATGATATTTTAAGACTATATCCAGACAAATAACTGTGCCTGTTCTGGACAAGTAGCAGGAAATTAAAGGAATAATTGCATTACAAAGCTGCTGGAGGCGAAAGGCTGATCTCTGGATCAATGTTGACTTTTCTTGGCCCATCTGTAATTGTCGAATTAAACCGCACTGATGCCCTTTAAAGAGTGCCGGTACCAACCTGATTGTTGGCAGGCTTGTACTTGAGTCCTGGTTTATTCAGGATGGCTTCGATTTGTTCTCGATTAAAGTTGGAGATGCCAATGGCCTTGACCAACCCAGCATCCACTAACTCCTCCATGGCCTACAGCACAAATATCATGTCATAACTATAATTCATTAAATAGAGCTAAAAATATTAGCCAATATACACTGGCATTACAGTTCTTATAATGATGCAGTATATGTAAAACAGATTCATTCGTACGAATGAATGTGAAAGGTAACTTTAAAATCTTTAAAGATTTAAGATCTAAAAAAAGGTATTCTTGCCTCCCAGGTGTCCAAGAAATTGGTGTCATCGCCGATGGTTAACCCTTCACTGTCCAATGGAAACTGATCTGGCCCAGACTGAAAAGTAATGATGACAATGCATTTCTGAATGATGTTACAGTGAGATCTTAGCTTTCATTGTGGAGATCAACACTGAATGCTAGACATGAATGTGTGACAGGACTTTAGAGAAAAAGTTTCATTCTGACTTTCTCAAAAAATTCTAATAAATCACCTTAAAGCCCATTGGCCAGTGAACCAGGTAAAGATCCAGGTAGTCCAGTTTTAGGTCACTTAAAGTCTTCTGGCAAGCTTCCTTTACTAAGGCCTTCTCGTGAAAGGTGCACCAAAGCTGTGAATCAAAATGCAGTGTATTCATTTCATCATAAACCTACTAAATCAGCAGTAACTTTCTATTTGTCAATGACATTCTTGAGGTAAATGCTGCAGCTTGACATACCTTGCTGACCACAAACAGTTCTTCTCTTTTAACCACACCATCTTTTATCATGGCCCGAATTCCCTCTCCGACCTCCGTTTCATTATTGTAAACTGCGGCTCCATCAATGTGTCTGTAACCCGCAGCAATGGCTGCCTTCACAGCCTCTGCAACTTTACCTGGGGGAGACTGGAGGGAATGCAACAGAATTTAGACACCAAAATTTAAACACCAACAAAGAAAGGAAAGGAGAAAAAAAATCGAATGGATGGGGGAAAGGAAAGGAGAAATGGGCAAGAAAGCGAATGGAAAATAAGGGAAAAGTATAATGGGCAGAAAAAATGTACAGAAAATCATAGGAATTGAAGCGAAAAGGAAATTACAAGAAAGAGGAAGAAAATTAAAAACAAAAGAAAAAGCAGTGCACAAAGACTAATGTTAAACCTGTGATTGTGTATTATGGTTCCAACATGATTCGACATCAGATATCTTTAGTCACTTTAATATAATACTCCTCATAAAATCTCTTATCTAATGTTAACTTACCAAACAATAGACACGCACAGGACTGATATCGGTGAACTTGCTGAGTCACTATGATCAAACTAATTTCTCTAGTAGACATTCATATTTCGAACCTGCTCAATATAGTAACGTATATTGCCCCTAATTTCAAATCGTAAAACAGTTCATAACCGCCAAGGCAACTTCTTTCCTCTAAATTGCGCAACGTTTGACTATTAATTTCTCAAAATTAACTTTTGCAGCCTCATGTCAATTCATGTGTCTTTTTAATTTAACTTTTGCATGCATTTTGAAAACATTTTGGGCATGAAATCCACATGCAACGTGCCAGCTAAATTAAGGCACTTATGTAACGTTAACTTTTATGTAAGTAACACGATCATTTATAAAATGAATCGCACCGTACCTTCCAGGTGCCCAGCCCGACGATGGGCATATCTGCCCCGGTATTCAGCTTCACAGATGTTGCCATGGTGAAAGATAGATTAACCACGAGCTGTTTTGAACAGAGAAAGTGGGTGAAGAAGTTCACACAGGTGCAGTTTTGGCTTGATTGCTCCGGTCTTTCTTTTATTTTCGATTGCTCCGGTCTTAACGTGATATCGTGTTGAGGGAGCGACGTAGGCTTACGTCACCGAACATTTACCAATAAAACCCTGTTATGAAAAAAATCTGCCTTTCATTTGCATTATAGACTCGTATATAATAACTATCCATTTAGAAATAATAATTTATAATGCATATTAATTTCATTAATGACAATGTTTGCATGAAAAATTTTATTATTTACAATATAAATACAGAATATAGAAAACGAAAAGGCATGGCTGCTGTGAACAAGTTCGCTGAACATACACGTTGAACAAAACAAATGCGCACTGTAAACTAATATTTTATGCAAAAAAAGCATTTTAAAAAGGAAATGTCTTTTGTTAATTTTTAGACAGGAGATTTGTCAATTTAACTGTGACAGTTTACTTGAAAACAAGTAAGGCATAATTTTTCTAATTTAAAACTAATTGCATTTCTATGGGCCAGGTGACATTGGGATACATTTTGGCAACAGGAATAAAAGGCTGCTGGGCAGAACAAGAATACACGAAAAAGGACAAACAGGCTAGACAAGGCTTGGTTACATTAAGTAAAGTTACATTGTTTTTTCAGAAGTATATCCTCCCATGCCTATTCCACACTCCTCCTCATTGGCTGGATTGATCTGTCCTTCAACTTCCCTCTCTTCCTCCTCCTCATCTTCCTCATCATCTTCATCCTCCTCCTCCCCATCCTCACCCTGCGCTGCGCCTCGACTGATCTTAGGACCCTTGCAGATTTTGAGGTGGCGTGTCAGGTGGTATTTAGTGAGAAAGCCCTTGTTGCACTTTTCACAGATGAAGTCCCGTTTCCCATCGTGAGAGTTTAAGTGTTTTTTGAGATGGTCGGTCTTCAAGAACTGTTTGTCACACTTTGGACAGGTTATCTGGCGGTCTCTGAAATAGAGAAAAGATAAGCAGAGTAAAAAGCAAGGTTGCTATTAGAATATTTGAATAATGGAGATTATTAAATCAACATGAAACAGCATTCTCAACCTATTTCATATCCGTACTGTCACATATGAAAGTTATATACGGCAGGACTTGAGTTTATTCATCAGGATATTATTGGATCATGAAATGTACTAATAGTTACCGTAATATTCATATTAATTATATTTTCTATTATTATTTATATAATATAATAATTATTTACAATTATATTTATAATATACATTTGAAATTAAATATGAAATACAGCCTTACAGGGAATGTGAATACATGTGCTGTTTGAGATCTTGTTTCCGCACAAACATCTTGTCACAATGGTCACATTTAATGTTCTTGGCACCAGTGTGTATAACCATATGAGATTCCACATGCGCTTTCTGAGTAAAAGACTTCCCACATACTGTACACCTGAAGTTCTTCTGACCTGCAGCAAAAAATAAAAAAGTAAAAATAAAAAAAAAATATATATAATGAGGACAACAGTAATGATAAATGAGTATTTATTTGGATAATTAAAAACAAACAAGTGGTTCACTACTTGAAGTTCATTTCAAAAGTTAATTAAAAAACATCATGAACTGGCATTAAACAAATATTATTCTATAATTATTATATTGATATAACTTGTTATTACAGTTGGATGAAGACCTATTTTCCCATTTGGATTGAATTAAAAAAAAAACAACCTTTAAAAGTAAGATCCATTTTTATTTCATACTGAATTAAAAACGAATTATAACCATTTCAAATGCAATCTAGACATGCACATGTACCTGTGTGGATTCTCAGGTGTTTTCTGAGATTGCTGGGATCACTGAAGGCTTTGCTGCAGTAGCTGCACTTGTGTGGTCTCATGCCCATGTGACCCATGAAATGCACGTTTAGCTTAGTGGACGTAGTGAACGCTCGGGTGCACATGCTACATTTAAACTTCCTCTCGCGACCGTGCCCGTTGCTGCTGGAATGTTCATTCACGTCTGAGTGGCACTGCCATTGTGGGGAGGAAGCGGACCGGGACGGCTCATTGATCACCTTCTCCTGCGACTGGGATTGGCTGTGTGTAGTGTGATGGTCCTGGTTGGGGCTATGGCTCTGGGTATGGCTGCTGAGGTGAGATTTAAACTCTGCAAAAGAGGTACACTCTTTTCCACAATGACATATCTGGCCCTCTGGCACTCTGGGTACACCTGAAAAGATACAGACATAGCAACATTGAAAAGATCATACACGGTACAGTTAGGACACGCTGGAGGAAGTCCCACCTAGTTGTCTGCTATAGTCCCTGCTAAAATAAAACAGCAGCTCCTGATCTGGCAGAATCTCTCTGGATGTGCAGAAATAAAGCTTCCCGTTGTCAATATATGCCACGAGATTCTGTTCCTCTGTAGTCCTGCAAATAGAGTCGGTTTTAGTTCGCAACTACCTGATTGTTTTCATACCATGCATGATTTTCAATATAGAGCTTCCTGAATTAAGTGATATGGGGAAAAGTTTTTTTGAGGATAAAAGTGAGGTGGTTACCTTGCTTTCCGTACAAACATCATCCAGTTGCATTCATGCTCATCTGTCGTCACAATACAGAACTCTTGGATATCGTTGTGGAACATCTACATTAGATTAAAAAGACAATGTTAAAGCCATTCTTGGGATTACCAAATGATATGTCAGTGTGAATAAAATATGTAGATGAGGCTGTTTAGCTACCATGCAAATATCTCTTATGCCCACCATGGCTGCATCTTTTTTACCAAAATACAGTAAAAACAATAATATTGTGAAATATTTGTCCATTTAAATGATACAACAATTTCCGTGAATCATTCTAATATGCTGATTTGGTGTTCAAGACATTTCTACACTAATATCAATGTTGAAAACAGTTTAGTATTTTTGTGGAACATTAAGGATTCTTTGATGAATATTACGTTTTAAAATAGAATTCTTTTGTATAATAAATTTCTTTACACTTTAGTGTCACTTTTGATCAATTTAATGCATCCTTGCTAAATAAAAGTATTAAGGTCCTAAAAATGTGAAAAAAAACAACAACATACTACTCCCAAACTTATAAGTAAAATCATTAAATAAGTAAAAATGTTTAGTCATTTTTATTCACATATTTTAGAAATGTGGCAAGGACCTTCCATATTTGAGGGGTGTCCTTGTCAGACCAGTCTGTAAGTTCTACACTGCTACAGTGCTGTCCAACCATCGGCCCAAAGCAGGTCCTGGAGGGTATAGTCTCTCTAGCAAACACCCCTGCAGAAAACAAAAAATGCCTTTAGCAATGGAAACAAAATCTTCAGTTTTCAAAAGCAAATGGACTTCACTTCCGAATAACATTTAACTGATAATGTCACTGAACTTTAAAAAGAGCAAAACTTCACTTACCAATAGGTTCATCAGTAACAGAAATGCGGAGGCACAGGGGGCGGGGCAGAGAGAGACGGGCTCTGCTCTGAATGGGTGTGTCTGGGATGAATGTGACTGGTCCGTGCTCAGGGCAGTCCGAAGGATATGACTGCTCACATAAAGTGCACCCTAAATGAAAATAAAACGCATAAAATTGGAACGAAACACATTTCATAATTCAAAAACACCAAGTAAAACTTACATATGTTGAATGCAGAGGCCATGTTTTCCTTATTAGATGTTGAGTCTTCTAGTTGTAAGGTAGAGTTCACAAGCACCAGGCTGTTGTCCGGCCCAAGAGACACTTCAGCAGTGATGGGTGACACGTTGACAGGCTCGAGTCCCATACCTGAAGGTCCGTGTAGAGATACCGTTTCTAGTTGTGTCTGTGGCACCATGGCCCCCGTGAGCACCACACTAACCACCCCAGAGTTCAGTTCTCCAGTGGAGTGTAAGGCTTCACCCAGCGTCCCTGGACCGCCTGCTCCTGCAGTTCTGGTTCCTACTCGACCGCCCATGTGCTCCTGTTCCATCAGCTCCAGCCCTGCTCCATGCAGGGGCATAACACCTCCTGAAGAATCCACACCTGTCAAACCTTCATGACGCTGAGGTCTGGAGCCCAGCTGCTGTTGAGTCTCTGCTCCCACAACACCTTCCATGGTGGCCAAGTCCTCTTCCATTCCATCAGGAGACATCGGACTACTGACACGTGACTCCATGGTTAGTCCAGTGGCATCCAGCTGCACTTCGTGAGAGCCTCCCTGATGGAGATCAGCCTGGCCTCCCACCTGCCGTATGTCTAAGGTCACCAGGCCTTGTTCTAGAGGGCCACCAGGGCCGCTGTACGGGTCTAAGCCAGAGGGGTTGTTGTTGGATACGGAGAGAGTCCCATCCATGTTAAGGCTGCTGGGATGAATGTATTGGGGAGGGGGACGATCTGCCAAATATGACAGAATACCTAAAGAGATAAGAAAAGGACAAATTTCATACATTTGATTCATTGGTGTACTAACACAGTTATTACATAGTTTTAACGCCCCCTGGGGTTCCATGAAGGTACTGCACAGGGTCAGTGACATCTTTGTAATTCAGTTTGACAATAAAGTGGCACAACGAATCCAGTATTCTTGCAAAGTTTGTAAAGATATGTTGGTTCATTAAAAAAAAAACTAATACTAGCTCATATTGTAGATTTATTTATTTTTATTTTATTTGTTCGTCCATTAAGGGATCCCTAGGTCTGGAAAGATTGTCAGCCCTTGGTTTGAAGTGTATCTTAACAGGTTTTCTGTATCATTACCTGGAAGGATATGTCTGAAGTAGCTGCTTTCCAGGTGTGGGTATGGAGGAGGGGGTAATGTATAATTTCTCTCTGGAAGGCCACACATAACACCTCTGTCCCCTAAAGGACCCATGGGTAACATCAGAGACAGTGCAGAAGGGAGAGGCCCAAGTGATGGACCCAAGCTGGGTATTGCGACTGGCATGCCTGAAATAAAACCAAATAGTGCTACTTCTCCATACACCTGACTTCCCACACTGTACCAAACAAATGTCATGCCAATGTATACACATTTGAGTTCTGACCTTGAGAAGTGATGGGATTGTGGGTTGGGGATGTGGGGAGGCCGAGGTGACTTGCACTCACAGGCACACTGAGCTGGTCCATGCCCACTGGGCTGAGGTTCATGTCATTCATGCTGAACAGAAGAAATGTTATTGGATTTCAAATACAATGACTACACCATAGGTTTATGTCATACATGCTTAATAGAAGAAATGTCATTGCATTTAAAATACATTTGTATATCATAGTGCTTGAGCAGAATCAGACATGTTTGTTTACCTGACAACACAGATCACTTAAGGCATTGATGTGATGGATGCATTCTTGGATCTGGAAAAGGGAAAGATTCGTCCTATTAGTAATTAAAACATTTAATTGTGAACCATAACACTCTATCATAAGCCTTATTGAAGTTTTTAAGACAAATTGCGCAGTCTTTCTGGCTATACATGTACTCAATACGCTAATAAATACAAAGACCTACATAATATTTCAAGAAATATGTATTTTATCAGACATCGACAAGGAAGAGCCATAAAAAGTAGCCAGTGTTAGAGGCTAAGCTAGCCAGTTAACTAACGTTAACGTTATCCTAGATAAATGCAAAAACAGGAGGCAAGGTGTTAACTGAAAGGTATTTCATTTAAAAGACAACCAACAAATTTACTTACTAAAAAGACCAAATATTAATCCCTCCGTGGAAGATTTGTGGTATAAAAACAATAACATGGCTAAAGGCAAACAAGACGGGTTCATGATTTAAAACAAGAGTCCCACAATGTGTCCTGACATTGCAGTCAAATCAAAGAAGCCAAATGCAAAATTAAGTTCATAAGTAATTAAGTACAAACGTAATTTTAAAAAAATATCTTACAGTCGGTATGACCATAAGGGGTTGGTTTCATATAAAGAATGTAGGGGTGGGGGTCTAACTTTTATTTTGAAATGTAAACTCAGTTTCCTGTTCTCTAATGCACCGGAAAACAAAAGCGCTGTGACTGTCCCCTGAAAACCTGCTGTGTAATCTCATCTCTACATTCACTAACCGAGTTTATTTCAAAGAAAGAAAGCAGTCATGCCTGATTATTTAGGAACCGAGCAACGCAAAGTAAAAGAAGAGGAAAAAGAGGACAAACCAATTCGAGGTACTATTTGCGATTACTTGCGGTTGGAATTTAAATGAAACGAATTAGCAGACAAGTTAGCATTGGTTGACTAGCCGCATCATCTAAGCTAAATCTATTTTACTGTTTTGCCATTGTTATTATTCCAGCTATTTGCTGGCACGTTCATGACATACATTGTCAAATGTCTCGGTACTAGTTAAATATGTTTGTGTTGCCTTAAACATAACGTTACTTTTCACAGAATAATAAACACGTCAATTGACGATCCTGACTGATTTGGGTAATTTAGAAATCTATCATCATGTGGCATATGCATATCTCATTTATTAATCTTGATCTGTTTTACTTCTCAGCTTTGGATGAAGGAGATATTGCACTCTTGAAAACCTATGTAAGTATTCCTACATCATAGTAATGCCTGATTTGGCATTCAGACTTCATTTAATATATTCTGTGTGTGTGAATAGGGCCAAAGCACGTATTCCAGACAGATTAAACAAGTAGAAGATGATATTCAACAGCTTCTGAAGAAAATAAATGAGCTCACTGGTAAGTGCACTGTCGTCGTGGTGTGGGGAACTAGTTTTGTGGATCACTACGTGCTAAAACAAATGCATTGATGCTGTGTTATGTGTGTCTTAACAGGTATTAAAGAGTCTGATACAGGTCTGGCTCCTCCAGCACTATGGGATCTGGCTGCAGACAAACAGACTCTACAGAGTGAACAGCCTCTGCAAGTGGCCAGGTATGAGACATGTAGAATTATTAAGGGTTAACCCTTAGATTTATTGGAAAAAATAATTATCGTGTGCTTCGAATACACTACCATTCTTTTTTTTTTTTTAAATAAATATTTTTATTCTACAAATATGCATAAAAATTGATCAAGAGTGACAGTAAAGACACTTACAATGTTACAAAAGATTTCAAATAAATGCTGTTCTTCTGAACTTTCGATTTGTCAAAGAATCCTGAAACTAAAGTATGTACAACTGTTTTTAATATTATACTTAATATGAAATGAGCAGCAAATTCTTGAGCAGCAAATCAGCATATTAAGAATTTCTTGAAGGATCATTTGACAATGAAGACTGGAGTAATGATGCTGAAAATTAGAAAGGGAGTTTATGTAATAAAGTGGTTGAATGATGAGATACTAATCTGCATATTTTTTTATTTGTTCATAGATGCACAAAGATAATCAATGCTGACTCAGAGGATCCGAAGTATATCATTAATGTGAAACAGTTTGCCAAGTTTGTGGTGGACCTGAGCGATCAGGTCGCTCCAACTGACATTGAAGAAGGAATGAGGGTTGGGTAAGCAGAAAATGGTGGATCATTCATTTCTGTTCATTCATGTTAGAGAGTAGCATCTGATCTAAAGGAGTATTGTGTATCTATTAACAGTGTTGACAGGAACAAGTATCAGATCCATATTCCACTGCCACCAAAAATCGATCCTACGGTCACAATGATGCAGGTACGAAACAGCTCAGGTTGCTTAGTGTCATGTACATCATCAAGGCAATACTATAGGAATAATGATGTACTGTACATAAACAGGTGGAGGAGAAGCCTGATGTGACCTACAGTGATGTTGGGGGCTGCAAAGAGCAGATCGAGAAACTCAGAGAAGTTGTTGAGACCCCTCTGCTCCATGTGAGTCATAGGTGCATCCAAATGTACCTGTTAAAAATAAACGGGTATTAAATGTCTGTAGATGTTTAAGATACTACATATTTTCTATAATCAACCTCCATCTATTTAATTCCAGCCTGAGCGCTTTGTGAACCTGGGTATTGAGCCTCCAAAGGGTGTGTTGCTGTTCGGGCCCCCCGGTACGGGGAAAACCTTGTGTGCTCGAGCTGTGGCTAACCGCACTGATGCCTGCTTCATAAGAGTCATCGGATCCGAGCTTGTTCAGAAGTATGTTGGAGAGGTAAGTGCTTTTTCTATTCAGAAGAAAGCTGTGAATTAAAAAATTTTTTTTTTTTTTGGAATTAGGTGCTAGTAAGATCTATATAATAACGTGCTTTTGTGTCTAACCCAGGGTGCCAGGATGGTTCGTGAACTGTTTGAGATGGCAAGGACTAAGAAAGCCTGTCTGATCTTCTTTGATGAAATTGATGCCATTGGAGGTAAGAATTTCATATTTGCTATAATCTGATACTATTTGCAGGATCGGATCATTTCAGCTTCCTTTGTGGGTCTATAATCCAGACCCTAAATTTTATTAATTTAAAAGGTAGTCCATCCCAAAAAAAATGAATTCTATCATCAAACAATTTCGGTTCTCATTGACCTCCGTTTAATATTTTTTTGTTCATACAATGAATATCAATGGGAATCGAAATTGTTTGGCTACCAACATTCCTCAAAATATCTTCTACATTTCACAGAATAAAATCATACAAGAAGATATTTTGAATAATGTTGGTAGCCAAACCATTTTAGATCATTTCATTGTCTTTGGTTACCAACTTTCTACAAAATCTAATTTTGCGTTCAGCAGAAGAAAGAAATGCATACAGGTTTGGAACAACATTAGAGTGAAATAAAGGACAGAATTTTCTTTTTGGGTTGACTATCCATTTCACATCAGTCACAACAGCTTTTGTATGATCTCACTTACCATGCTTACACTGCCCTCTTATAGGTGCCCGTTTTGATGATGGAGCCGGAGGAGATAATGAAGTCCAGAGAACTATGCTGGAGCTGATTAACCAGCTGGACGGATTCGATCCCAGAGGAAACATTAAAGTCCTGATGGCCACCAACCGACCAGACACCCTGGATCCTGCTCTGATGAGACCTGGCCGTCTGGACAGAAAGATAGAGTTCAGCCTGCCTGACCTGGAAGTGAGTATTAGCTCACAATACAATAGTGACAATTCACTAAAAATAGACAGGTATCATATAACATCATTCTGAACTGATAGATAAGTTAATGTATGTAATGCTCTGTGTCTAGGGACGTACTCACATCTTCAAGATTCATGCCCGTTCTATGAGTGTGGAAAGAGATATCCGCTTCGAGCTTCTTGCACGTCTCTGTCCCAACAGCACAGGTGAGTTCTTACTGACAAACATTGCAATTAGCACACAATTTAAATTGACTGTATTTGCATAGGCTTAAACTTGGGCTTTCTACAATGTTGTTATGCAAGCTATAGTTTACATAGGACATTGTTCCCTCAGGTGCTGAGATTCGCAGTGTGTGTACAGAGGCAGGGATGTTCGCCATCAGAGCTCGTAGAAAAATTGCCACAGAGAAAGATTTTCTGGAGGCTGTGAACAAGGTCATCAAATCCTACGCCAAGTTCAGCGCCACCCCTCGCTATATGACTTATAACTAAAAGTTTTCTTCTTGTGTGCTTTATACCCACTTAAATGTTTTCTGCCTGATAATTCAAGGATTCTAATGTCTTGGCACCTTTCTGTGATTATCACTAAAAAAATAAAAACTATCCATACCACATGTCATTTTTTTCTATATTATATATATATTAAATGTTTAATTTTTTCCACTTCTTTGGGATAGTTATGCCTGTAATAATTAGCAATTATACAAAGGGAAGGCATGTTTGAAGAACAAAAAAAAAAACATTTAGAGTCATGATTTGAATTTATTATACAAAAATAGCTTATATCCATAAAGACAATGCATTACATTATATGCAGTTGCAACTGATTGTGTAACTTTTTGGTCTTCATTACTGTAATGAAACAGCATCTGTGGCAGTACATAATAATATTAGTAAGTGCGTGCACTTGCTGTGAACCAAAACGTACTCCGAGTGAACATTTCTGTGTCAAACATGTCAGAGAAAGTCTCAGCCTGTGGGCTTTCCATGTAAATGTCCTAAAGACAAGAATACCCGAAATTAAAGTCTTCATGGAATCAGCTGTTTCAATAATCATTAACTAAGACCCTTTTATGTTAATAATGTTCTTTGTAGCCACAAAAAAAAAAAAAAAAATTGCAGTAGGTTCCAAAAAACCCTGGCTAAATCTTTTGACAAAAAGTGTCTTGATTAAATGGAGATCAGGTTTTAAATATGTAACATATTAAGCCTTTTTTTCCTGAATACTACAGACAGATGAGAAACAAAAAGAAAGTAAACAAAAATTTAATCCTGTGAAAAGAAAATAATTTGTATTAACAAACAGCAAGCACATGGCGTACAACTTTAAAACAAAATTTCGATCCTTACTGGAATGTCAAAAGACGAGTGCAAAAAAATAAACACTTCAAGAATCAATCTATCCTAATTGCACTTAAAGAAACTACAGAGTGTTTTATTATAGTCATTCGTAACAAGGCTAGTGCAAGAGCACCAAAGATATTAAGCCCAATATTTGCTGATATATTCACATTAAATAAAGCGTTTACACTGAAAACATTTTGGCCAGCTCATTGCTTTCCCAGCCTTCTTTTGTTATCGTGTCATTCATCCTAAAGTGACCCAATTAACGTAACAGTACTTGTGCTTGTTCCAACAAAGTTGAAATGTCAGTTTGGTTTGTGTGTTCAATGGATGTCAGGACAGATGGGGAGGTTCTTCCTGTGCTTACAGTGCAAGACTGCGTCATGAATTGTAGGGAAAATGAGGTCAGAGGTCACAGGCTCACAGAAGAATTTTAGTGTCCTGAGATCAGACAGAAGGATTCCTGCACAACACAAACATATAAAAGGTTTTGTGCAGAGCTTAGGAAAGAATCATTCATTACATCAATGTTAACCTACATTTCAGTTTGGCCATATGAACGTTAATTAGTTCCAACTCTAGGTGGAGTTGTTTACCACATTCAACAAATATATCACAATGAACTTTAACCTACATAAAGACATTCAACGTAAATCATAAATTTGTTAAACTTCAATTATATTATAAACATTTAAAAATGTATGTAAATGTAATTACTTATTTGCTACATAGGGTATGTATTCTGATAGATTTTAAAAAAAGTTATATTATAGAAATATATAATAATAATAATAATAATGTGAGTGTGTATACATATATATATATATATATATAAACAGATATACATACATACATATATATATATATACTGTATATATATATATATATATATATATATATGAAGAGTTCAGATGCAAAAGCCTCTACGTGCCATTTGAAATTTTCTTCTAGAATGATAATTTTTAAGTTCAGTAATTTCACTTAAATTGCAATGAAGATTACCTATTAATTGTCATTTAATTTCAATTACTGAACTTATATATACAAGCTTGATAAAAAAAATTCTAGAAGAAAATTTCAGATGGCACTTAGAGGCTTTTGCATCTGAACTCTTCATATGTAAAACTAAATATATATATATATATATAATTAATTACTTACTGCTACATCCAGCAAGTACAACTTTCACGTCAACTGTTGCATACTCCTTGATCACCTGTAGAACAAAGAAGAACTATTGCAAATGTAGAACTACAAATGGCTGAATATTTCTGTAGTAGATTTCTGCAATGTTGTGGGTGGTTGCTAAGGTGTTGTGAAACGGCTGCTAAGGTGTTCAGTTTGTTTAGCGCAATAGATCTCTAGAATTTGCTCATTTTATCATCCCTGGGGTGAATATGATAAATTGGATCACCTGGGAAAGTAACAGTACACATTTTCTCAATAAGCCAATGTCATATCTGTACCACAAACAATAATGAAAAAGTAATGTCTGGTTTCACTGTTAGGGCTTAGATTACACTAGGACTTGCCCTCAGTTCAATTAGGATACTTAAGTAGCTTTTATGAATATGCCTTAGAAAAAACAATACTGATATGCATCTTGAGACAAATGCATGACATTGACATATTTTAAGATTTGTCAGTGCAAGTTGTCTTCAGTTGATTGTAATGATCAAGTGATGTAATAATAAATGGCAAGCTGGTCAGCACGTAACAGCATGGCATGTGGCCAGATCTCACTGTTCTGTCTTTACAGAGGTATGTGTTGTCTTTGAGAATAAAAGCTATCAACTTACTGATTTAATAGTTTTGGCTCCTACAGAGTCAATAAAGTTAACAGGAGTAAAGTCCAGTATGATGGAGTGAATGGGGGTTAGACGCTGCAGAAAGAAGTCGTCCTCAGATTCAGACTCATTGTGGTTCTCAGTCCTCTGGCCATTGCTGTACACATGCATCTGTTTTTGTGACCCATTCACCACCTCATGAGTGACACCCAGCTCCACATCCTGTTGGGACACCACAGAACACATCAGATCAGAAATGTTGTATCACCAAACCACCAAATTAGAAGGAAATAAGTTATAGTGCCATATTTTAGGGTGAAGTTGAGATTGCGTCCTTTAATTTGTCATTTGAAATTACATTTGTCTTGCAAACAATTTTTTTTATGCATAAAACAATCCAAACAATGGAAAAGTGAGTGTGGGTAATCTGGTGCAACATGTAACCCACGCTGAGTTTCAAATGTCTACGTGAAGGATAAGAAGACTTTATTGACGTACAGATGAAAGAAAACAACAACAGCAACATACCAATAAGACAACTGCATGTTTCTTCAGTGAAGAGTCATGGTTTACAGTCTTACTCTTCCCGTTGTCTCTTTTCGCATATTTTAGCTGTGAGTTCCTGGAAGTGAGCAGTTGTGCCGGGTCAATTCCAGTCTGTAGTCAAACAAAGCAAAATGTACAGAATAATACAACTATAATATCTGCAAAATACACTGAACTTTGTGGGGGCAAAACACTTGCTGTTCATGGGAGCTTGTGTACTCAAGGACAAACAGTAAAACACTTAAAGTTAATCATAACATCAAGCATTTAGACTCACCTTCGCCTTGAGGGCGCTCACATACAGGTCACTGTTTGCAAAGTAGATGGAGGTATTGGACTGAAAAATCTTAATCCCTGAGCATTCCTCAGCCTTGATCAAGAGAACAAACAGCAGATAAGACGACAAAGATTGTGGGTGGAAAAAGAATGATGGATTAAATCAGGACTATTCGGGTGACTGACTAAGAAAAGCTGATAACAACAGTTTTGAAGTGGAGCACGCTAATGTTACTCATGAGATGGCTATGGGTTCAGTCTCATGTTTAATGTATTTTAAGAGCAATATGTCATACCTCTTCATAGTCATCCACATCAAAGTACAATCCAGTATCTGGGATTTGTCCAAGAAGAGCATTCTTAGGGCTTAAAAACAAAAGAAAAATACCTGAATTAGACATTTCAAATGACAAAGTAAACAAAATTCTTTTTGTTCAATATTTTACTAATTATTTACTATAAATAAAAGCTCAATTTACTTTGTACTCAATATTACAGGATTAAAAAAAACTATTAAAAAGAAAAAAAAAAACTAGTGCATGTATTGCCATTAGAACATAATGAATTAATGCACTGAATAAAATTATCCACATGTAAACAAATTATGTGATAACCATTTGAATAATTATTATGTACTAAATACATTTCAATACATACAAAAAAATATGAATGCATTATTTTAGCTGTAAAGAACTTCAGCATGAAAACCTTGATTTTTGTGTATAAATCTTGATATTGAATTATTTTGTATCAGAGCAGTGAGACAATGTGCTTTACCACTGTGTTCTGTAAATAACTGTGAGTATGGCAAAGCCCATGGAAACTACCAGACCATAATCCAGACCAAGGAAAACCGATGCAAAAAAGGACACCAGCCAAATTGCCTGAAGAAAACATGTTAGACATTAATAAGAACAATACTAGATTTCACACACAAAAGAAAGTGGAAAGAGCCATTCAAAGAAAAGGTTCATTTTAATAGATGAAAAACAACCAAATGAGAAGTGCCTCTGAAGCTCACCAGTTCAATCTTGCTGGTTCTCCATAATACAGGAATGTCTCTCATTTGCTTAAACATCCCCAGAAGATTGACCATGATGATAGCAGCCAACACAGTCTAAAGGGAGTACAAAAAGGACACTAAATAAACACCATCTCTGACTTCTTTTGCACTAACACAAACATTTTAGGTGGTTTTCATTAGATTGCACAAAATCAATGAGGTCCATGGCAAGCATATCAGAAAGTTCTTCACGTACTGTAGGTAAAGGCTGAAAGACAAATCCAATGGCCACCACAACCAGTAGCACGAGTAAGGACGCCAACAGTCCCGCAATCTGCAGACACACACATCAACATAATTCAATTGAGTCTTTTAGGAGGCACGACTGCTTTATCTTATCTTTAAGGTTTTACAGCAGTGATATTGCCATTGGGATGAATTCAGTATCAGAGGCACACTCCGTTTCAGGAAAAGTCATTTTGCAATAACCAATAAGTACATATAATTATCGATATGGCATCTTACACAAGAATGTCTCACTTACTTCAGTGTGTCCTCCTGTGCTCTCCTGTACCAGGGTGCGAGACATTGAGGCGGTAACGACAAACGTGTGGAAGAATGAACTCATAAAGTTACAAAGTCCCAGCGCCATGAGCTCCTAGTCACATTAAACACAAAATGACTGGATAAGACCATCTGACTGTACCTCATAATCATAAAAATATTAAAACTCATGTGACACTGAAGACTGGAGTAATGACTGCTGAAAATTCGGCTTTGCAATCACAAGAATATTGCATTTTAAAATAGAAAACAGGCATTTGAAATTATAATAATATTTCACAGTCTTACCATTTTATTTTGATGATCAAATAAATATGGTCTAAACAGCAAAAGAGGCTTCTTACAAAAAAAAAAAAAAAAGTACTGACCAAGCAGCGTACACATAAATATACTGCAGATATAGTAAAAGTATTATGTTAGCATGCTATTCCATTTCTATATAAAGGGAACTTCATGAAATTGAATTACTGTCTTGAAAATCTAGGCTCCTCACACAAAGGTTCAGTCCTAAACAGAGGAACTGGTGAGTTACTGAGGTCACAATCCATCTTTATTACTGTTGTTCATCTTAAGCAAGGCTCTTTGCATTATGTTGCCCCATATGAACCTTCCTTGCAATTAGTGTACTATAAGTCATTTAGGACAAAAGGATCTGCTAAATGGAAAGTAACCAAGTAACTGTGTGATCTGGCCAATTCAGATATTCGGCTGTAGTTTAAAGCCATAGAAACCAAAATAAAGGGCAGCTGAATAAAATCCATGTCCCTGCTTCTAGGAAACTCTGAATCAAATTATTTGCACAATGAAGTATGGGACAACTGTACTAGAGGCAGTGTAGCAGTAAATCTATTTTTTATCACTTCAAAACTAACAAAGATGCTTGAAAAGTATGCTCCTTTAAAGAAAATTCCACTTGGTTTGACATTATGTTACATAACGCAATTTAGATCACAAGTGTGGCATTGTGCTTGATTGTTTTTATTCTCTACCTGATTTCCATCCACACTGTATCCATGCTTGAGAGCAAAGATTTTGGCTAATGATATTGCAATCGAGAAGCCAACAACAGATATAGCAACGGCGTCTGCAAGAAGGTTAGGAAAGACTGAGAAGTCTGGAATCTTGGGTGGCAGCAACCTTAAAACAAAACATTAAGAAAGAAATATTAAAATGTAAACATTTGTAAAAATGTAAACAGTTTCAGTTCAGAAACTTTAGGTTGCGTGATCTTACCCAGTGGGAATTTTACCCACAACTTCTACGCCATAGTTTTCAGACATAAGCATCCCGTACGAGATTCCAGTGGACACGATTACCTTTAAAAGAACAAGAACATCATGGATTTACACAAAGGGATCGTGAGTACATGTTTGAGTACAGTCTTTTATGGAAAAGGCCTTTAAAATGTTTTACCACTATGATTTCTCCAGGGATGGGGATAGGTAGCTTCTTCTTGAAGCGTTCATTGAGATCTTTGATGATATACAGGAATACAGTGCACACCAGTCCAATAATAAGCGTGGCGACATTAGTGGTGGCAATGTTACTGAAGACAGCTTCAATGCTCTGGCGGAAAAACAAAATTAATTCCACAACTACATAAGAACAATCACAGATCAGTACAGACTCTTCAGATCTATTATTTATTTCGGTCCCACTTTATATTAAGTGGCTTTAAGTACTATGTACTTACATTGAAATTAATACTTTGATACAATGGACTTATTGTGTACATACATGTTTTTACATTGTACTTATATTTTGAAAATACCTGCATGTAATTACAGCTGTAATTAATAAATGTAATTACATTTGTAATTACACAGTTGACCCTTCCCTTACACCTTAACCCACCCTTAAACCGACCTATACAACCACACCTAACCCTAACCTTACCCGTATCACACCTCAATAGCAACAAAAGTGTTTTACAATACAATCTGAACAAAATAAGTACATTGTACTTATTTTTCGATGTAAGTACATAGTACTTAAAGCCACTTAATATAAAGTGGGACCTTTATTTCTTATTTCAGTTTTTCTTTCAACTACCTAAGTATCAGTTTTAGTTAATAACGATTTTTATTCATTCACGGTTCACAAAATACCTTAAGCGGTGAGAAACAGTGTTTATGGAGTAATATGAAACATGCTCATAGTTCCAAAAACAAACACACTGGAGTTTCCCTAGGGTGAAAGGTTACTCACATACACTACAGAGAGAGGCCCATTAAAGCGCGCAGTGTGGACACCCAGCAGGTACTTGAGCTGCGACACCGAGACGTGCACAGCGGCAGCCGTAGTGAAACCTCGCACCAGTGGCTCAGTCAGATAAATAGCCAGGAAGCCGAATCTCAGCAGACCCAAAACAAACTACAAATCAGAACAGAATTATGTTCCCAAACATCGATCTGAAAGTATCACGGGTTACAGAAACTTGAGGAGAATCACATGAAGTTTACAGTTTTCCATGAAAGCTGTCAATTAGATTAGGCCTGCAGATATGCCTGTGATGTAGGTCATACATTTGTTTTAATAGGTTAATGGTAACATTGCAGTATTTCTTGCTGATAATGTGAGCAGAGTGACTGAGAATTGCACTTGAACGTTTTTCAGATGGTCCATCTACAAAATACGGGGGTGATGTCATAAACATGCTGTTATTATTCTGCTTTGTAATGGCAACATACGACTGTGTTGCTGGAATTTACTTGCAGTCCAGCACAAATACTGAGAATGCACTAGTTTTGATTAACTACAGTTCTAATGGGGCAATCAAATGACAAATATAGATGAATTTAGCTTTTCAAGACATAAAATAATTAAATAATTAATTCTTTGATATCAGAAATTACACACTTCACCCTTAATAAATAACAAAATAAGAAGACGACTAGATTCTACACACTTTGTGATGTTCAAAACCTTTGGATAAGTTCAGAAAGTGGCCTACCTGAATGATTCCTACTAGGGTTGTCAGAGCTACAACCACTTCCACTCTTCTGGCATCACGGGCATCAAAATCCACAACCTGTGATGCGTTGGTCCCATTGACCGCAAACATGGAGTCCGGGACCTCCCTTACAGCCACTCCGCCAATCATAAGACTGATTACTGCAAAAGTGCCTGAAGAAAAACTGTGTTTTAAAGAAAACTTATGTATGGATGACATTTTTGTAATTATTTAGCAGAAGTTGTCATATATATACATATACCATTTTGCAAGATGTAAACAACACTGGTCAAGAAGCACTTCCTGTTTCAGTTTTTTAACACTACATAAAAGCTGGGATAAAATACAACCAATAGAACATATAAAACTGAATCAAAAAGTTAAACAAACATCTGATGTTTTCTTTACATGTGAAATAAAGAAAACAGTTACAAACTAAAACAGGAAGTGTATATGGACCAGTGTTGTTTACATCTTGCAAAATGGTCTATACACACACAGTCTACATTTTTAAATATTGTTTGATTATTTCAAACCTCACAAACTTCTTTTTATGTTAAATGCTTTGCTTAAAAAGTGTGATTGGACTATATTTAATTATAATCATACTATTTTAAGTGTATCTCAAGCCTTATAGAGTCATTGTGTGTAAGAATAACAGGTGGTGTAATTGCTGTAAGGTACATCATGTAAGGTGGCGGATTGTCGTCACGGAGCAGGAGCCCCACTGTCATGTGAGCAAATATTTATGAGTTTATTTACGTACGTGAGCTATGCCATCTAGATCTGTTATACACTGTAAAGGGACAGAGTGTGAGTGTTGTTTAAACAGGAGGCAGCATGCCTCTGTGCAGCAGGACCTTGCCAAACATTTGGACTGTTGCCCATTCTCTCGCTCTCAATTCACGCCATGGGGCCGAGAAAGCAAGATAGTGAAGCAACAACTTTGGTTTGGGTAACCTTTTAAACCTTTAATATATCTTCTCAGTGGTGTTTGTAATATCCCACAGGGATTTCTGAGGGTTTGAAGATCCCCACATTAAACGAGACAAAAACAAAAACTGCAGGCCATCTACGCACCCATAAAAGCCACCACAAATAAGGCTTTTTGAAATAAATTCTGAAAGTTGGGACACAGAAATCAGAGTCTGTTTATCCCAATGCTGGAATAAACAGACTAAGGATTTTAAATCTTATCCAACTGAACTACACTTGTTTAGTCTGACAGTAATGCTTCACAATGACTTAGCAAAACTGTACAGAGGAATGTCACTTTTCAAGAAGCAGCAGCAGTCTGCTGTCTTTTGGTAAAAAAAAAAAAAAAAAAAGATAAAAAACAGCTCCACATTGCAGCCTGTTAGACTAACAGCAGTTTGTACTGATTTGATGTGCTGCATGGGCTAGGTTTATCTAAAATAAATGATACTACAATAATAAACAGGACGAAATTCACCATGAAAAGTGAACCAATCAGAATTCAACTTTCCAGACCAAGGAAACACTTTCAAGCTAAGACTATTTTTTAAGTCACAACTATGTTATTAAAACCTTAGAATGCATGCCATTGAGTCTCACCTATTGATATATGTCTGGAGGTACCAAAGAATGTGTATAATAGGACTGGATAAAATGATGAATATAACCCAAACACTGGAGGAACAGCTGCCAACATCGCATAAGCAAGCCCTGTTGAATGTGAGAAAGAGAAGCAAATGATCAAATGAACTTGCTCAGTGATCAATAACGCAATGACATAAGAGTAAACCAGATAAATTAATAACATAACTAACATACTATAATAATAAATTACATAACAATATTTGTATATAATTGTTCATATTTGATATAGAACGGTTTTCAATAACATCTGACCTTGAGGTAACTGCATTACACCTGTGCTGATGCCAGAAACGATGTCCCCAAACAGGTATTCCTTTACTCGATAAGATGGGAGCCATGTTAAAATGGGAAAAAAACTAAGTGCAACCGATTTGGCTTTCTCAGACGAGCAGCTGAAAAGTAAGGGAGAGATGGCTGTTAGTACAAATACATCATCTTCTTCATAGTTTCATATTTTCATTTGAGTGATTTTTAATATGTGCATGTTCAAACACTGAAAAAGTTTTGATGCACTGTATGTGAATAAACGTGAGCAAGATTATCAGTAAATGATAACTTAATTATAGTCTGTCCTTTTCCATTGAAACTTTGTCATCAATTTATCCAACTCAGACTGGGACGGGTAGGTTCAACAAATGTTAATGTGTCACTATTGTTGTGTAATACTAGTAGTATTGCAATTTTATATGGAGGATATGATTCAAATAATGAATATATTATGACTGTTGTTATATTTTTATATTTTCTGAAGTTTAGATAAGACGTGAACCTGATACCATTATTATTATTATTATTAGTTATAAAATACAGTGGAGAAATCACAATTGAAAACGGAGTTTATTTAAAATTATATTTATCTTTTATTTAGCTTTTTATAATTTAATACACTTTGCATTATTAATTATTTAATCAGCATAACAATGTGAGTGAAATATTCTCCAGTCCACAAGTATATCATGACTCATGATCATGTCCTCTGGCATGATATGAAAATGATCATCTTGTGCTTCAGTGGATGAACATCTGATACATGATCAATATCACAAATTTGCTTGTATGATTAGTGACCTAGAAATACTGCAGAAAATTTCTCAATGTGGTCTCAGGCTTTTGGACTCCACTGTAGCTTACAAAACACAGACTTTTCATCAGTAACCATGAAAGCAGAATCTATTGAAATAGCTTTACCGGAGATGCTCAGTTATTCTCCGTCTACAGGACTTTGGTGTCCTCTTCTTCCTGTGCAGAAGCTCTGAGTCAATATATCCTTCATTGAACACGGGTCGTTCCACGTGGTACATCAATGTAGCGGATGGTTCCTCGCTAGCAGTTACGTTCTCCATAGCAGCAGTGGAAACACAGGCATGTCAGGCTATGATGACCTTCAGAAAGAACGTGCTCTTGCCTTACTTCCTCTTCCTGTTTTCAAAGAGTAGTGGAAAGATGGCACTCTGTGAAGAAAGAAAAGTTAAGAATCAGCTTTAAACTATCACACACAATGCTGGTTTTATTCAAGCAAAAAAAATTATGTCACACTTGCAACTCACCTGCTTTTTTTGGAGACTTGCAGGGGTCAAACAGTGCTGGTGTATAATTACAAGCCCTCAAAATAATCTCGAATGAAAGCCAGTTGTAGTTTGCACAGCCTGTTACAGATGACGGTGATGATCTGCAACGTACAGGAATAAATAAAACTCTGTAAATTAGCTTTGCATATTAAACTAAGAGGGGTGTGACGGGACACTTATCTCACGAGACAAAACACGAGATTGGGTTCACAAGAACGAGACGAGATTTTTGCACAACATTTTATAGAAATCCTCAATGACAAAATTAGTCTGCAGGTGCATTTTGGAATGTTTAAACTATTAATAATACCTAATCAAATCTGATTTTTTTCCCTCTTTTTTTTATCCATTCAAAGAATCGGAAATATTGTGTCCTTAAGTAATATGAAATGTCGTATGGTTTCATAGTTTAATCCATACAACAGTGTGTCTAAAACACACAACCTGGCCCGAGGACACGGTGTACAGCTTAAGCAATAACAACCCCTCCATGGATCTAGTCCATTTTTAGTACAGTCCACTGCAAATCACAAGGCCATAATAAAACAAACTGGATATGACTGATGTTGCTGGTGTAGTAGGCCAAAGTTGGCAAAGCAGTGGTGTAAACATTACAAACCATGCACACTAAACAAGATGAACTCATGACATGCAAGGGCCATTCCATTCACAACTGCTGCCTTATCCATTGTGAACAGGCATTTTTTTAAAGATTTGGAAACATACATTTAATTGCAAAGAATGGATTTGAGTTTCAATGAGTGCTATTAATTGATATATATTCATTTAGCAGACGCTTTTATCCAAAGTGACTTACAAATGAGAACAAAAGAAGCAGTTCTAACAGTAGGACAACAATATGTGCTATGATCCTTCTCAGTTTAATCGAACATAATCATCAGTTTAATCATCGCAGTACATATATATAAAAAAATATTATAATAATTAATGCACAATTACATTGTGTCATCTCAACTTAATATAAACATTAAATACTGAGCTTTAGCAATGCTTTTTTATAAATAAAAAACAGTAACAGGGTGACAGTAAAAGTGTTGACAGTTTTAAAGTTCAGTTTTAAGTTAGACATAGAATTGTGCTCAAGGAGTGACACTACAGTCTATTTATTGGAAACAAATGCTACATCTATCTATAAAATCGCTGTCAAATAATCAGTAAGTTAGCTTAATGTATAAAAGCATGGTGACAGGGCATTTTAACATGGTTTCCTATTGGCAAACAAGATGTAATGATAAAATGCTTTTTATCAATTTAACTTGTATTGTAAAATCATGTTTATAGGGTTGATCCTTGGGGGGGGGGGGATTTTATTAAACATAAAATAATAATTAACACTACTATAATAATTTAATAATAACAACTCTTTTTGCCTTACATAGCAAATGTGCATATTTTCTTGCATACCCAGGATAAGTAGGATTTAGAAGTCTAGAGACAGATAAAAAGACGAAAAAGCCTTTAAATTAAAATAGTTATTTGTACACACAGTGAATGCTGTTCTTTCCTTCGTTGGAAGTCACGTTTACATGGTCATGAAGTCATGATGTAATAGCATACAGTGAGTTTCAACAGTAACGTTACGTGTGTTTCCGCCATACTCTGAGCTAACACACTTTTAAAATCAAAAAGGCAAACAAAAATAAACATTTTCGAAGTGTCCTCGTTCTGTTCAACCATACGACTCCATAAACCTGTTAAGCAGGTACGATATATCGTTAACCACGAGCTTTGCTAAATTATTGTAGTTTTCAGGATGAGAAAAAAAGTCTAAGCATCTTACCTATCTCCGCCTCCGTTCTGAAAATGACCCAAGGTCGGAGAACTGGGCTGAGAAGAGTACGAGCATCGACAGTCCTGTTACTGTATAACATGTGAAAGCCCTTTAAACTGCCGACGACAGCTGCGTCATCTGCCGCACTGATAAGAGAAGCGCTACGTCACCTCATGCGTCACTACGCACCCGGAAATGGCACGTGGGACATGTAGTTGTCTAAAATAAAACAACCGTATCAGATTACGGACGGAGATAGATTTTGTACACCTGATATTCGGCAGATTATAAAGAGATTGTTAAAAAAAAGTAAGTAATGTTTTTATAAGTAATTATGATTAGATTAAAAACATTGTTTTATATAATAAATATAAATAATAATGAAGTATTTCCCCTAAGGACGCAACTGCGATGTAAGCGTGCCCTCTTGTGTAACAACTATGCAACAGCAACTTAAAACCAAGGTATTATAAGCCATAATATACAGTAGGCATATATATATATATATATATATATATATATACTGTGTTGTGTGCATATTGGATTTTTCTCATTGGCGTTTTAATGTCCTAAAATGTCCATAACTTGCCTCTCACACTATAGCCTACCATTATAAATGGCTACTATTACATAGACTGTAGGCAAATTAGAGAGTCTAGACTCTAGGGAGAATCTGATTCCTATTGTATCATGATTCAAAATATTCAAAAATCAAGAATTATTTATATTCAAGAATTCAAAATCATAAAGTTAGAAAATCACATCACAGTTTTATAACTTTAATTTAAATGATCAAAGTATTTCACATTACTGCTGTCAGTGATGAAGATGGGACTATCCTACTTAAACTAGGTTATTCACCCTTTTTGCTACATTCAGCTTAGAGCTTTATACATTTAATATAAGTAGGGGTGAGCATATAATATGTCTCTTACCTGTAGATAAAATGGTTTAAAAGCCCAGCAGGCTCCAGTATGTCATGAGTTTAAAGAAAACATATATAAAACAAGATGCACTGAAGCTCTTCAGTGTTAAATGACAGATACTCCCAGACTAGAGTTTTGAAATGCTTTTTAATGATAGCTGTACAAGCCTTTATTGCTCAGAAGAATATGACATTGTTGCAATACTCATTATTACAATGTATTGTGTAATCATTGTGCAGGACATGACATTGCCATGGCAATAACTGTTTCATTTCAAGTACTAAAATTAAAATGCATTATTTGTGCAAGCATTTTGTGCAGAAGTGTGAGATATCACTCTTAAAAATAAAGGTGCCAAAAAGGGGTTTTCGGCAAGCTGGTTGACAACCCATCTAAATCAGGAGAATAAAAAGTGCATTATGCTTATTGAGTAGGCATATGAATGCTGATAAATATATTTAATGTTTTGCTTGGTCTCATCTTGAAAAAGATTCAAACGCATTCACACATGGTAATTCTTTGGAAAAGTAAATAGGAAACGCCCACTTGTGCATCTATACCGCACATGCGACCGCTGTTCGGCTTTCTCACAGTTCATTAACTGAGCCAAATCAGGAAATGCCTTTTGAGACAACAAGCCCTGGTTCAATGCGATGCGTTCTTGTGATGCTAGTCGCTCGAGCGTGTTGAATAAACATCGAGAGACTTGAAGAGTCGCTTTAGAAAAAGTCGAGTGGATGATTTGATTCAGCAGGATGAAAACCTAGATTGGTAAAGTTACTTGAACGCTGAAGGTTTGTAGGTGAGAGACATCACAAACCTTCAATCATGGCAACATCCAAAACCAAAAGAGACGAGGAGTTCACTTTCGTCAGTCCAGTGGTGAAATATTTACTTTTCCTCTTTAACATGTTATTTTGGGTAAGTGCTGCTCACTTTTACTTACACTATTATATTATATTATATTATATTACAAAATATAAAAATAGCCTCTAGCCTGCCTATTTTTACACTCTGGGTTTTTATTATATAAGAACAGAGACTAAATAGTGCAAAACAGAGCAGTTTTTTAACTTATCACATGACAAGGTTTAATGATTAATGCTTTACCAAATGACTTTTTAAACTCCCACTTTAACATGCTCAAACACCAAGCAAGCTTTTCATATACAACCAGATGTACTTAGTTCATTTGCAGACTGAATAATGATCAAGTCAGTCTTTTAAAAGCAACTTGACTTATGTGTTTTCATAAAGACAGCTGCATTCATGGTATTTAGGTATGAACAATTGCTGAAAACATCACCCATGGGCATGTCTCAACACCGTTGTGTGTTCCAGCACCACAGGCTATCTATGAATACTTTGAAAAATACTTCACAGTTCTTGACGCATTGTGCAACAGCTTAACCTGTTTTATCTTGACTTGATGTACTGAGTTACACTCAGGGAACTGTCTGCATTTTCCCCTGCTGCGTGATAAAATCTTCCTAGAATAATAATGAGTTCATATTAGACCTCATCAACAAAACTCTCTTTTATGAAACTCTTGATACTGCCAGTTTACTTTCCCAAACTTTTCTGAACTTGAGGCTGTTGCTAAGCAGCGGGTCTCATTGATTCATATGCTGAAAGAGCCATGCAGGGTGTTTGGACGAGTGGGGGCCCCATGCCTCTTTTATTTGTTGCCCTGTAGCTTTTAGTTCATAGACCTAAGTGAATATCACCTCTTCAGAGGGTGAATCAGACACCCAAGATATTTAAAACAGTCTTGGACAATTACTTTAGTTGTTTGCAGAAGGGCATCAAGAACATTCTAACAATGTAAGTGGGCGCAATCAGATTTAAGTCTGTTGATTTTAACTATAAGAGTGTACTGCATGCTTGCTGGTGCAAATATGCACATGCAAATACCTAAGGAGATTTCATGCTGAAAGCCTCAAGAACAACTCGCTTTTTTTTATAATGCAGTATAATGCTACTAGGCAGTTTCTACCGGGTCTCAATGCATTGTGGTAAAGCACCTAACCCGAGTCTGCACTGATAAGCTAAAGCTTTCACCTTTATGAGAAGTGATGCAGCATAGTTTGTGGGTGTTACAGGAAATGAGCAAATGTTCAAACTAGCATTATAGGTCAATGTTCCCGAGAGCTTGTTTCCTTCCTTTTAGTGCGTATGACAAAAAATAAATAAATAAATACATTTTCAATAAAAAATATAATACAGTATGAGCTCTGAATTTTTATGTAATTGTTATAAAAAAAATATTTCATAAATTAAATGTATTATTTAGCCTTTATTATTATAATAAATAAACCTAAAAAAAATTGAGTTAGAGACCAAGTTAAGTACTTTTCAAATGCATTAAAAAGCTCCTTCAGGCAACGACTAGGGTTTTCTCTGGCTTTGAAGTGATCTCGGTCTACACGGCTTTCTCTGAGAAAAAATGTGGAGTTTCATAGTAACCTGATAGCTGTGTCAGAGAAAGGGGTCTACTCTACATTGTGTCAGACAAACTGGGACCTTTAGTTGTGTGAGAAACCAAGAGTGAATGAACCTTGAAACTTCACTTCTTCATATAGAATTTCATGTGCTCTTTTCTTCTCATGGACTTTTACACATGCTGATGCTGTATATAATCTAAAATGTCAGGTGTTTTTTTTGTCTTTACTTTACTTAGTCATGCATTTTACACTTATATCCTTTTATATTTAGATATCCTTTTATATTTAGGAAAACCGATGAATGAGGATGTTATGCCACACCCTGGAGAGGAATGCTATTCTGTTTCTATCTGTTTTAACACACATAATCACTCCTTATCTTTCTGTTATAGGTAATTGCACTGGTCCTGATATCTATTGGAGTTTATTCCAGGATGATTAAACACGGTAAGAGTGTTTAATTGTTTTTCAGTGTTTATACCCTCAGATCCTTCATAGCCGTCATCATACACATTCACTTGACATTAAAGGTTTGGGCAGTCTGATATTGGAATAGCAATAGTTTTAAGCAGCCAGTGCCATTGTAGAAAGTCAGCCATTAATAATTGATTCCATGATTGAAAGTGTCCAGTGATATATGAGTTGCCAAGATAAAGTGAAACTTTTTAAAATAAAATTACACTACCATTCAAATTTGTAATAATTAAAAAAAAAAGTCTCTCAGACTCACCAAGGCTGCATTTATTTGATGAAAATTAAAGTAAAAACTATTGTGAAATATTATTACAATTTTAAATAATGGTTACGTATTTTAAAATGTTACTTATTCCTGTGAAGACAAAGCTTGAATTTTCAGTCTTCGGTGTCACATGATCCTTCAGGAATCGTTCTAATTTGCTGGTTTTCTGCTGAAGACACATTCTTAATATCAATGTTAAAAACAATTGTGCTGCTTAATATTTTGTGGGTGATACACAACCATTCAAAAGAATTAAAACTTTTCAGAAAGGACGCATCCAAGTGTTCAAAAATGACAGCAAAGACATTTCAAAGATTTTTACAAAATATTTATTTTAGACTTTCAATTCATCAAAAAATTTGAAACAAATAATAATCTTGGTTTCCACACACATATCAATGTTTTCGAGACCCATTATAAAATATTGAGCAATAATTTATAATAATTGAGCACCAAATCAGCATTTTGGAATGATTTTTGAAAGATCATATAACAGTAAAGACCGAAGTAATGGCACTTACATGTCACAGTCACAGTAAACAGTTTTTTTTTTTTAATTATAATAATATTTTACAATAACACTGCTTTAGCTGTACTTTTGTCATATGAATACAGCGTTAGTGAGCCTAATAAACTTTAAATTACTTAAATTATTCCAAATGTTAGACCAGTAGTGTACATACAACATTATAGATACAATTTTTCTCTCCTTAGAGTAAGTATGCCACAAAAGCTGTTTCTATATATCTATCTGGTCTGCTCTGTTTTGCTCAGGAGAGACATTGCTGGCCTATCTGACTGTAGATCCTGCTCTGTTACTGATGATAGTGGGCGTTCTCATGTTCTTCATCACGTTCTGTGGCTGTGTGGGTTCTCTGAGGGAGAACATATGCTTACTGCAAACGGTCTGTAATGAAGCCTTGTAATGAAAATTTTTAGATGATTTTGAGAATGGTACATCAGAATTTGGCTACATTATGTGTAATTTGAATCAGTGTTTTCATAACTGTCTTACGGCATAATACTTAATACATACGGCATCAAACAACATACATTTTACATGTCAAATGCAAAGCAAACCCTAATAGCAAACTCTGATTCCCCTGCAGTTTTGCATCATCTTGACTATCATCTTTCTGCTCCAGCTAGTGGCTGGTGTTATGGGTTTTGTCTTCTCAGACAAGGTAAAAAAGCATCATGAATCAGATTAGTAGGCTAATGCCAATGCTACAATAAAGCAAGCTTGAGTAGATCCATTTTTTAGAGCTAATGTGAACATGAGATTTATTTTCTCAAGTAATTGATGACGCTCATTTAAATAAAAATGTTACCTTTTATTTGTTTAATTTACTGTTAATTCATCAGATTAAAGTATAGTATTTTAGTGTACTATTAACAGTCCCTGTATTTGTGAAGGCTTTGTATGAACAGGCATAAACTAAACACACAGTCTCGACATGCTCTAACAAAACCCCTTGTCACAAAAACCCTTGTCTGGGTTTTTAGTTGACACGATGCGCCCCCTAGTGTCTGTCACCTACCAGTGTAATAAAGGAATGGATTTACTCACCCTCAACACAAAAGAACATATTTTGAAGAATGTTGGTAACAAAAAAAGTTGATGGCACCCATTGACGTCCATAGTAGGAAAAAAAATGTTTGCCAACTATTTGATTACCAACATTCTTTCGAATAAGTTCTTGAATAAGTTGTGCTAAAAAAGGGGTTGTGTGGCACGAATAAGTCGAATAAGTGTGTTCAACAGATTTATACAGGTTTGGAACAACATGAGTTAATGATGACAAAATGTTTTGGGTGAACTACGCCTTTAGCTAACAACAACAATTGACTAAAATAATCAAATCTTTAAATTATCATTTGAATAAATCTGACAAAAAACAAACAAACATTTTTTTTTCAATTAAAGTTATCCATTACAGGCACGCGGCAAAGTTACAGAGATGGTTGACAATGGCATCAAGCATTACAGGGATGATTTAGACCTACAGAACCTCATCGACTATGGACAAAAACAGGTCAGGATAATTGAATATGTATATAATGCATAATAATAGTTTGTAATGGCTGGTAATTATGTTTCTGTTTTGTGTTATGATCAGTTTAACTGCTGCGGGGGGATCTCTTACATGGATTGGGGTCAGAACTTATACTTCAATTGTTCACAAGAGAACCCGAGCAGAGAGCGCTGTTCTGTCCCCTTCTCCTGCTGCCTGATCTCCAAAGAGGAGGTGAGAAAGGGCCTCCAAAAAAGATATTTGGAATATACTTTAATATATTCAATATTATATATTTAAATGTTGAATATATATTAAAATATAATTATATACATATATTAAATATTAAAACCACTATAGAATATATAGTATTATATTTAAATGTAACTATTTATATACATATTATCATATTAATAGTAATACATATTAAAATTTTATTTCAAAAAACTATATGTTGTTGTTGTTATAGTTATTATAAATTCTCTCTCTCTCTCTCTCTCTATATATATATATATATATTATATATATTATTATCAATTTAACAGAGTGAATTATTATTATTATTCACAGTTGTAAGGATATAAATACACATGTAAACAATATATTGTTTCTGTAATTGGGCTCCAAAAAGTTTGTTTGTACTTTTAAATATTATATGTGTAATATCTAATATAGTCAATAATAATATAATTACATTTGAAAATATTAAAATCGAATTAAATGTTAAATATTTAGAATATATTAATTATTACTATATTATAAATAATGAATATTGTAATATGAAAATAATGAATATCCATTATAATGAATATAATGAAATGTTATTGATAATATTCTTGTATTAAATTATAATATTGCAAATATATTAATCATATATTAAATGTCTCTCCTCCTAAAACCATGTTGCCTTTTGTCTGTTTTATCAGAGTGTTATAAATACCATGTGTGGTCATGAGATGCAGAATAAGAAATATGTTGACGCTGGTGCCGTCATCCATACCAATGGCTGTATTGATAATGTGGTGAACTGGATCCACAGTAACCTGTTTCTGTTGGGAGGCATCGCACTGGGCCTGGCCATCCCACAGGTAACCCCTGATATGAGATTAGAGGGCAATCTGCTTAAAGTTGACATGAAAGGGAAGTTACGATAGTCTTTTCTTCCCTATTGTGACATGAATAAAATGGCCTCTCGAAAAAGAGAAAATGTTGGATGGGACATGATTTTTTCCATCCGGAATTGATTGGATGGTTTTGGTTTGCTAACGCTAATGCTGTGATGTCATGTGAGTGACAGGTTATTGTCCTGCCCTCATGATAGAAACACATTATCAGAGAAGAGAAAAGATGTCGCTGCAAGAGGAGTTATTTTGCTTAAAATTGCAAGGGCACATGAAAAAAAAAAAGATGTGCACAGCTTATTCAATATAAATACTGCAATATTCCATAAAAAATAAGAATTGTCTATTGATTTAATATAAAATAAAAGTTAAAAAATTAAATCATGTCAAAGGTGGGTGAGCATATTTAGTTTGATTTCAAACAGGCTACATTGTGGATTTATTTTTAAGCATCTATACATCTTTAAGCATCTTTTAGTTTGAACTGACGGCCTGTTCTCTTCTCTTTTTCAGCTGGTTGGGATCCTCCTCTCGCAGATCCTTATCAATCAAATTAAAGATCAAATTAAACTGCAGATTTACAACCAAAAACATCGCTCAGACCCCTGGACCTGAAACTGGCAAGAATATATATGCGTTTCTATAGAAAAGTCATTGCTGCCTAAAGTGGCTGACATGGACTGGCTTTTGAATAAGAAAAACTGGCAGTTTTCAGTTTAAGCACACTGAAGATCAATAGGTCAATAAAACTATTTTGGGATATTTTAATAGTGTCACAGAAAATTTTCAGTATGGACATTTTTAGAAACAAACTTTGTTTTGGCAGATATCGTGAACATCTGAGGTTAAATATACAATATCTATATCTATAATTTACTAAATTAAACTTTAATTTTCTGTTTTGTATTAATATGTTTATTGACGGTATTCTAATAATTATTATTATATTATAATTAATAAATATTTATATTTTATTTGAACAAACTGAATTATTATTATTATTATTCACAATAATCCAAATATACAAAAGCACGCAATTGATTCCACATTTCATTAGCTGGTGTTGCACATGGATGCTGAGGGATTTTATTGGTGGTCAGTTTTAGTATTAACACATGTTACAAAGACGCATTCATAGACATGGTAGGAAATGCATACCAGGTGCAAAGCACTCAGCAAAAACCAAGAGCACAGCGTACTGAGAACAGCCGGTATTTCATGAGGCTTTTATCCAAAACTCATTTGGAAATCCAAACAGACAGTGTGGCAGACACCTTCAGTTTGTTAATGTTGTTTGAATGCCAGTGGGGGGAAACATGAAATGTGAAAACACGGCAGAGGTATTTTATGTCAGTGTATAGGAGGAAAGCAATAAACTGTGTGTGTAGAGAAAGAGAGGGAGGTAGACATTTCGGGCCAGGCTCTCCCATTTGGAGCTTGAGTGTGTGTTTGTGTGTGGTCCCCGGTCCGTGCCTCTCTCTGACTCATTCTAGCAGCCATGTTAGACTGGCTTTTTTAAGGAGGCCCTGTGCTGGGAACATGCAGCATAGCTTACCAACCACATCCACACCAACAAGTGCTGCTGTCTAAATCTGATACACCAAGTTTATTCTCCTCCCTTGAGAATTCCGTTTAGTTTCCATCGCAACGGCCAAATTGGAACCATGGGAATAAGATTGAAGAAATTACGATTTGAAACGATTAAATGAGATGATCTCAGTCATGAATCACAATCACTATTAATAAAGTGTCCTAAATGTACATCACCAACATAAAAGTCCTGTTTTTGTTGTTGTTTGTCTACAATGCAAGATTTCACTATGGATACTCCAACTGAAAGTGTTTAAAGTACATTTTGTATGACTGTATATTTAATTGACAACATCCTATTCCTCTCATCACTGTGAAAGCCCCTTTCCAACACTTACAAAAAAAAAAAACAATCATGTTTTGTTAAATCATAAGGTCAAAATTATGAGATGCAGTCATAATGAGTTAAAAGTAAAAATTATGAGATGAAAAGTTGAAGTTAAAGAAATACTAAAGTTGAAACTGAGATAATTATTATAATTGTTATCTAGACCTAGACTTTTATGTCATTATTAATTAAATAATTATAAGAGAGGTATTTAGCAAAAAGATATATACATATAAACATACACTGTAAAAAATATGATCAATAAGGTAGGACAACTCATGTTTTACATATTTAACTAATCAAAACAAATTTCAACTTTTTTACAAGTTATACAAGATTCAACTAATTTTTTAAGCCTTTTTAATGTAATCTGAGTTGAACTATCCTTGTTGATTGTACTTAAAAATTGAAGGCAGCAATTTTTTTTTTCGTTAACAGTGATTTACGTTATAGTAAATGAACTTTTTTGATCATAGCCTACCACTTTAAGGGTACACATACAATGTTCTCATTCTTTGTTTCTCATGTAGCTAGAATAGCTAAAGACAAAAGTAAGATAAGTATGATAAGTAGAAATGATAATATCGGACATGAGGGAAGGTATGAGTGAAGCATAAATATTCTGTAGGCTGGCATGGGTTGCTTTTCCCCAGCATTAGGGGGATGGGAGGGGAGCAGAAGTTTTTGTTATTTGTGTGTCTGGTGTGTGTGTGTGTGCACCCTCTCCGTGTGCATTCCAGAGACTAGACAAAAAAAAGTTTCTCGTGAAAGACATTTTAGTATCACTGGATCTCAGGTCTCCATCCGATGGGCAGATGAGTTTTGATAACATTTCTCTCACTCTGGTTTTGCTGTAAACTGGGGGGCGCGGGGACGCTCTGAAGGGGGACGGAGCGCGCAGCCCGGGGATCAAGTTTCAGTCCCAGTCCCAGACTTTTCAAGGCAACATTTTTTTCCTCCATCACAAAAGTGGGGGATGGTGAACGCTATTTGGTTTCTTCAACATTTTAGAGTAAGAAAAAAACGGAGCCGAGCTAAACTTTGCGCTGAAGCTTAAAAATATTATTTTGTTTATTACTTTTACGCACCGCATTTGTATGATGACGAGATTTTCAGTAGTATGTGAGCGAGAAAAGAGGCATAAAAAACTTTGGAATCGGACGAAAAGACATTTCTTTTAACGGGGGAAATGTCGAATCAGGAATCTAGCAAATATTCACACTTTGGCTTTGTTTTAAACCTTTAAGCGCATTGCACGCGAGTGCTGGACGAGAGTTTAATTGGAAACATTTGATGAAACAGGGATACATTGTTGCGTCTCCCAAGATGTCCTCCAGGCGCCTCTGCTCCATTGTTGGAAGCTTTTGGATGCTTTGGATCTGGGCAGCCATCTCTATGGTCGCTCGGGCGGTCATCTTGCACCCAAATGAAACGGGATCCAACGACTTTTGTAAGAAATCGACAACTTGCGAAGTTCTAAAATACAATACGTGCCTGGGTTCACCTTTGCCGTACACACACACTTCTCTAATTCTGGCTGAAGACTCAGAAACTCAGGAGGAAGCCTTTGAGAAACTGGCCATGTGGTCTGGTAAGTTACTGTTTTATTATATGATGCATAAATGCCGTGAAATAACCTGTTTCCCCCTTTAAAGCGAATTAAGTTATTTTAGTTATTGAATAAAATTGCCATGACTAAAATTTTTAGATTGAATGTCAATTTTGAAACCTATTGCATAAGAAAGCCTAATATTGCTGAACAAAATTTTTCCTGTGTAAATTGGTTGCAGAACATAAATAATATTAACTTTGTCATAAAGATTTTAGCATAGGCCTATACACTGAAAAAAAAAAGTTGCTGCCTTAAATTTTTAAGTACAATCAACTTGGATGTTTAAGTCTATTTAACTTAAATTAAACTAAACTGACTTTAAAAAAATTAGTTGAATCTTGTATAACTTAGAAAAAATGGAAACGTGACAACTTATTTTGATTTAGTACAGTGTACTAAACTAAATTAATTGTAAATGATTAAATGATTCAAATACATTCTTAGATGACTTTTGCATCAGTTATTAATGCCATCCTGTTCTTAATTTTCCTCAAGTACCCCATAATGACCAATCCACCCTTTTCCTGTCACATTCACGCCTTAATCCCAAAGTTCTCAGTATTGTTCCTGAAATTCCATTGCCAATTGACATACGAAAAAGAAAACTACCAGATATTTAAATATCCACTTGATGCTGTTGAACTTAACTAAATATCCTGATTTATTTCAATAAATAATACTTTGACAAACCATCAGGATCTTAACCAGACAGCTAATGAGAACTAGACACTATTTTCTCAGACAATTAACGTCTAATCTCTCAATCTCTTGTGCCCAGGGTTGAGAAATGCTCCTCGCTGTTGGGCCGTCATTCAGCCATTGCTGTGTGCCGTTTACATGCCAAAGTGTGAGAATGGAAAGGTCGAACTGCCCAGCCAACACCTGTGCCAAGCTACACGCAAACCTTGCAGTATTGTGGAGCGGGAGAGGGGCTGGCCCAACTTCCTCAAGTGTGAAAACAAGGAGCAGTTCCCTAAGGGTTGCCAGGTAAGTCATCCATTTTTGCGTACGGCTAAAATGGTCTGAATGGCCTGTGATGTGACCAAATTGACTTTCAGAATGAGGTCCAGAAAATCAAATTCAACACATCAGGACAGTGTGAGGCTCCCCTTGTCAAAACTGACATTCAGGCAAGTTGGTACAAGGATGTGGAAGGCTGCGGGATCCAATGCAACAATCCTCTGTTCACGGAAAACGAGCACTCGGACATGCATAGCTACATTGCCATCTTCGGCTCACTCACTCTCCTATGTACCTTCTTCACACTGGTAGGTGAACCGACGAAGACGAAGAGTGCAGTAATTTGACAGAAATCATCTCACGTTTGGGCTACAGTCTTTAATTTTGAACATTTTTCCTGGTTACAATTTCCCACAGGCTACATTTCTCGCTGACTGGAAGAATTCCAACCGTTACCCCGCTGTGATCCTCTTCTATGTCAACGCGTGTTTCTTTATCGGAAGTATTGGATGGCTCGCTCAGTTCATGGATGGAGCCCGCAAGGAGATTGTGTGCAAAAGCGACGACACTATGCGGCTTGGAGAGCCAACGTAAGTATGAAGCCAGCGGAAAACCCACGTTCCAAAAGATTGGATTGCAGGAAACATGGGTTACGCTGCATATTACAAACATCGATTGTCAGGAACATTTGATAGCCAAGAAAAGTAATTGGACCGAACAATAATAGCAATATAATTATCACTTACCAAATATTTCTGTATGAATAATACCCATTTTCCATGGCTTATTTTTCTCTAGGTCCACCGAGACGCTGTCATGTGTGATTATCTTTGTCATTGTGTATTACTCTCTTATGTCTGGTGTTATTTGGTTCGTTATGCTGACTTATGCCTGGCACACATCATTCAAAGCCCTGGGCACCACCCATCAGCCTCTTTATGGGAAAACGTCCTATTTCCACCTGGTCACATGGTCTATTCCTTTCATACTGACAGTTGCTATTCTGGCCATTGCAGAGGTGAGGCTACTCTTGTCTTATTTTTTTTGCACAGTTAATATCAGCTTATTCACAGTGATTATTTTGAATATATGAAACTTCGAAATAATCCACAGGTGGATGGAGATTCAGTTAGCGGCATTTGCTTTGTCGGGTATAAGAACTATAAATACCGGGCAGGGTTTGTTCTGGCTCCTATCGGTGTGGACCTTGTCGTTGGCGGTTATTTCCTGATACGAGGTGTGAGAAATATATTTTCATTCTGTCCGACAGTTGGAAATGCCATAAAGAGATTTACCTAGATGTATTCAGTTCATCTAAGTGTATTGATACCATAATCTCATTTTTCAGGGGTTATGACATTGTTTTCCATTAAGAGTAACCATCCGGGGCTACTCAGTGAAAAAGCTGCTAGCAAAATCAATGAAACCATGCTGAGGCTTGGTAAGTTTGGGTTTCCTCTTTAAATTTCATCAAAACAAAAAGAAAAGCACACCAAATTATGATAATACTAATGTCAGTAATAGAGGTAAGTAATTATACTGCGGTTATCGTAATACAATAATGCTATTTAATTATTCAATCTTATCTATATGTTTCTTAGGTATATTTGGATTCTTGGCCTTTGGTTTCGTTTTTATCACTTTCGGCTGCCATTTCTATGACTTTTTCAACCAAGCGGAGTGGGAAAAAAGCTTCAGAGAATATGTACTGTGAGTCTTCTTTTTCTATAATAAACCTACAGGAACAATCCGTGTGTTTCCGTATCTACCATACTGTAGAGAGCTACTAGTGCTGTCATATAACAAATGTGGTTTTTAATACAGATGTGAGGCTAATGTCACCATAGCTCACCAAACAAACAAGCCAATCCCAGAGTGTGCCATCAAGAACAGGCCAAGTCTTCTGGTAGAGAAGATCAACCTCTTCTCAATGTTCGGCACAGGCATTGCAATGAGCACATGGGTTTGGACGAAGGCCACAATCCTTATCTGGAAACGTACCTGGTTCAGGTATGTAACAAACATACAAATCATTTTTATATAATATTTTGTATGTTATAATCCATTTAAAAAAAATAAGTCTAATATGAACTATTTTCTCTCAATTCCAAGAATCATTGGACGAAGTGATGATGAGCCGAAACGCATTAAGAAGAGTAAAATGATTGCAAAGGCGTTCTCAAAGCGAAAAGAACTGCAGAAGGATCCAGAGAAAGAGCTGTCCTTCAGCATGCACACCGTTTCTCATGAGGGACCTGTGGGTAAGCACCTCCTCCTACATGCTAAAGATCATTTTTTCAACTTTTAGAAGTACGCTAGAATATTGAAAGCTACAAGACACTCCACGAACTGTCAACCAGTCACATCTGAAAACGTTTTTGCTACCCAAATAAGATTTTTTTAAACCCTTGCAGCGGGTATCAACTTTGACCTGAATGAACCATCAATGGAAATGTCTTCTGCATGGGCCCAACATGTGACCAAGATGGTGGCTAGAAGAGGGGCAATTTTACCGCAGGATATCTCAGTGACACCCACCGGAACGCCTGGTTAGTGCTCTAGTTCTTAAATAATAATTGATCAATATGTAATCAATTCTGTATTACTCACCCTCAAGTTGTTCCAAACCCATATTATTTGTATTCTTCTGCAAAACAGAATAGATTTTGAAGAATGTGGGTAACCGAACAGTTGAAAGTAGCCAATAAATTCAATGCCTACCATGAACTGTTTGGTTACCCACATTCTTCAAAATGTGTTCTTTTGTGTTCATTAGAAGAAAGAAATTCATACAGGTTTGGATCAACATGAAAGAGGGTGGGTAAATTATTACAGAAAACTATCCCTTTAACTGTAACTGAAGGCAAATAGCAGAATTATGGTATAATTTAACAAAAACAACAACAATAAAACCTAATTTGACTGCAGCGAATACTGCGTAACATTTATTATATTTACTACAATAATTAATAGCATTTTCCCCTGCAGTTCCACCTCCAGAAGGAAGGAACAAACTTTGGATGGTTGAAGCAGAAATTTCCCCTGAAATGATGAAAAGAAAGAAGAAGAAGAAAAAAGGAAGAAGAAAGGAAATACGGCCAATGGGACCTGCAGCGGACGAAGGGAATCCCGCCTACCACCGGAGAGAGTTTGGCTCCAGTGCAGTGCCTCGCCTTCCAAAACTTCCCGGTCATCGGAGTCTGGTGGCAAACCTGTGGGAGCAGCAGCGACAGCAGCAGGAGGAACAGGATATGCTACCTGGAGCCTTCCCAGAATTCAGGCCTTCATGTCCTCTTCCTTACCAGGAGAGGTATGGTGGGTTGGGATACTTACACAGTAAACCCTCCCTTGCCAATCCCCTGACTTTAAGAGATAGTGTGCAAGATTGCTTCCAGCAATCATCATGGCGACCTAATGGAGTTTTCCGGCACCTTGGACAGGAGGCTTCTATGATGGATGCTGGCAGGACTGCCATTGTGCCACAGGCAGATTGCAGGAGGGGTGTACCAATACACTCCAGAACCAATTTAATGGAGGCAGAGCTATTGGATGCAGACTCGGATTTTTAAGTCTTGGAGTTGCTGGTGCTCATATTGTGGATAAAAGCGAAAGGTGCTGGATACTCATGCCAAACAGTGAACCTCGGGCAGGAGTGAACTGCTCTGTCAGCTCCGCTTTTCTAAAGGATAATGCTTTTTTATGCAACCCTAATGACATTATGAATTTGAACTGGATTTATGAAACATAATTAAAAAGATATTTGTGTCTTCAGTGTGGAGTTCATAACATCCTTTTTTGTGGTTCTTGCACTTTTATGGTTGCAATTCATATTGATTAGTTTGCCAAGTGGGGTAATATGTTTGAAAACAGGTTAGTGTGTCATGGGGCTTTATTCAAGAATACATCATAATTCAGGTCTTGGCTTCAAGGGGAAGTGTGTAACTCTGGAGTCACCAGGCAGAATCACACAACAAAAGAAGACGACTATTTTCAAATAGGTTTCCCTGTCTGTCATTGGTCACTTTAAACAGATATCTCACCTAGAATACACGACATTGGTCAAGCCCATGTTGCTGTTTCAGCATGTTCAAAAATAGGCAATTTTTAGATCCCTTGACCTGTTGGTGATGCCGTAAGCAAATTTGGCATTTGCCCTCAGATCTTTGTGCTGATGAGGTGTACCAAGTGTAAATTTCCGATAGATCGAAAGTATTGCCAAGATACAGATTCTCATTTAATTTTGGGTCAAAATTGTTGAATTTGCTTCTGCGTAACTTTTGAGCGGTCCAGCGATTATCTGATCCAATTTTGGTAAAAATGATCAAACTATTCCTTGTCAGCCATTAGTCAGTCAAAATACTCCATTGGTTGAGCCAATGTTGCTGTGTTGGCATGTTCAAACAAACATACAGCGTTTACACTTTTTGGGGAAATTGGTGTATTTAATAATGGTCCCCACATATTACACTGAGTATTTTCTTAAAACCAACCAACACATTGCTCTGAAAAAAAAGTCTGTATGGTATGGTATCTGTTTGAAAATCCTACAATTACATTATAGGCTAAATTTTTTATAGACATAAAGAAAAGTAACTGATAAAAGTGCTATTTCTTCAGAAAAAGAGAATCTATTCATAGCTATTATTGTTACTTTTATAAAATTGTTACTTTTATTTTGAAAAAAAAAAAAAAATTGCCTGGTGCAATTACAAACAAGTCCACCTCTCACTCAAAGAGTAAGAGAAAATAAAGGGCATTTCTTTTTTCTTTTGTTCATTTAAAAAATGTTTTAAAATTGTAGCTCAAAATGCCAATGGTTATGTAAGATCCTGTTTCCATTGACAAATATTTCTGTACAGTGCTATTACAAAAAAAATATTTTTGTATTTTCCATTGTTTTTTCTTCCACCAGTTTTATTTTATATTATTTCAAACTGTACATACTTTAGATCACATTTTTGCTTCCTACATCCGTTGGAGTGATTTTGCTTAATACACATGCAGAATTTTGTTTGAGTTGTAAAGCTTATTGACGCTTTTTTTATATTCTTGTTTTGCCTAGATTGTTATCAGTGGAAATATTAACAACAACAAAAAAAGCAGCTGTGCGGCATTTTTCTGACAATTTGAAGCTGTCCTTCAAGAATGTATGTTAAGAGAAAGTGTTTAATGAAGATGCTTGTGCTCTGTGACTGCGATGATATGTTTTCCTCCATCACTGTTGCTGTTATTCCCTCATAAGAGCCAGTTTGTCCTCATCAATACTCTTTTATGTCAGTATTTTCATGTTTGTGTGTATCTTTGTTTTTGTTTTCTGCCAAAGTTTCATTCTATTGTATATATTTTAATATTGACATGCCATTAACGAATAAAATGTACTGAAACTGAGTAAAACAAAAGGATTCAGTTTATAAAATGTTGAATGCTTCCAGGTTATTTTCATTATACACCTGAAAAAGGAAATTATGTTTAATGATTAAATACATTTCATGTCACTGCGAGTATGTTTTTTTGTTTGTTTGTTTTTTGCAGGTAAATGTTGCATCTCATAAGAATATTTAGTAGTACAAAAAGAAAGAAAGATATATCTTTCTCTCATTGTTATACTTGTACTCAAAGATACTTATAAAAAGAGTATAAAGCTGAATCATAATAACCTCTAAGCAGCTGGTGAGCTGGCCGTGTTTTGATAGAGTAGGCCTAGTCATATTTGTACATAGTTTATATATAAATAAACACAAAAAATATTTAATTGTGTCTGTGTTATTCTTCGTTCTCACGCCAGTGAAGTCAGAACAAACTCTTATTTGAGCTCATTTCTAGATTTGATTCACTCCATAAAATAGATTGAACTGGAGCGTTCTGCTTGTAAGAGTGATAGGTTATTTGCTGATACCAGTTCAGTAAGAAAAAAGCTAATAATCGGTTACCTAACGTAACCTCGGTTCTCTCCAGATGAGGGAAAATGCGTGCGTAAGGGAAAGCAACGAGAAAGATTCATCTTTTCTGAGAAGTTGAAGCCAAAAAAATATCCTATAATCCATTGTCAACACAGTTCAACTGCAGCAGACCATGAGCGGGCTAGCTAGCAGCTAATTGGTTCGCTCAGGGAGAACTGCTACAGCCTATGGGAGAACTCGGCTGAACTCGCGGCCAATGAGAAGCCGACAAGCTCTCATTGCGTTAAAGCCCGCCAAAATGGGCGTGGCTCGAGTGTATATATTACGAGCTCTCTTCTCCCGGCGTTGCTTAACTGATTTTTTAACATTAGCGAGACCACACGCATCCGCTGTCTTGAGAAGAAGCCGCCGAGAAGGCAAGGCATCTCTAGCGAGCATCTGGAGCTGAGGAAGCCGGTGGTCTCTTCGCCACCTTCAGCCGTCCTGCAAGCTATTGCCATCCTACTTCAGCAGTTGTTCGCCGCCACAAACAAGTGGTCTCTCTTCCCGCTTGCGAGCGCTTAAACGCCGTTTTTACGGCAACTCAGAGAAATCTCTAAAGAGCATAAAAGCCTCTTGCGTAGAAAATGTGCCCACAGTCCTGTGTTCACCCATATACACAAGCACTACATGTCCCGTGTGACCCTCAGAGCCCACCCCCACGAAACGGTCTTTTCCCGCTAGTCCCGAGTGTCAGAATCGGTCAGAATGCATAAGCGCGCCCACGGCCCTGTGTGCGCGCCCCCCCTCTGCCCGTTCTGGTACACGGCCCATAAACTCCTCTCTGATTGTACGTCTCGTTGAGGCCATGCCTCTAGTGGAATGAACCATGATGCCCAGGGGACAAGGCAGGTTTTTAGACGCATAAGCAGATAGCCGTACTTTATTGTGCTTAACATCCATGGGGAGATTCCGGGAATAGCTTCCCACACTTTGAAGCGCAACGCTAGCGGATGAATGGCTATATCGCCCTGATTGCTGCACATAGCGGGCTGAACAGTGTGTGGGCACGCTTAGAAAATACACGGGACATGTGATGCTTGTATGTATGGGTGAACACAGGATTGTGGGCACAATTTCTACACAAGAGGCTTTTATGCTCTTTTGAGATTTCTCTGAGTCGTTTGAAGTAGCCAGATGAGAGGGGACTGACAGCGGGCGAAACTTTGACGGCGGTCCAAACGCGGTGGGAGAGAGCCGTCGTTTTCTCAGCTGCGCTAGGCTGACATCCGTTGATCGGGCTGTTCGGGACCTGCTCAGGGGTGGAGACCACTCGAGCCCGAGGCGGTCGACGGCCTTACAGAGGAGGCGCATAAGTTCCTCCTGGAATGCAGCGCGGGTCCCGATCGAGTCCCTGTCCGAAGAAGAGGCATGAGATCCGGACCAGTCCTCACTGTCTGAGGCTAGAAGCGAACAAGTGTCCTTGGCATCCGCGGCGTCGTCGGAGCGGCCACTGTATGTCCGGTGGAGGCGCGGAAGAAGGCGGCCGCGGGATGAACGCTTCCATAGAGGACTCCGGTAGCCTCTGGGAGCGGTGTTTCTTCTTCCGCGGCGAGATTCCTTCTCGACAGATCCGTGCGGTGTCGCTGAATGCTGATCAATCAACCAAGAAGCGGGGAGAGCTCGTAATATATACACTCGAGCCACGCCCATTTTGGCGGGCTTTGACGCAATGAGAGTGTGTCGGCTTCTCATTGGCCTCGAGTTCAGCCGAGTTCTCTCATAGGCTGTAGCAGTTCTCCCTGAGCGAACCAATGAGCTGCTAGCTAGCCCGCTCATGGTCTGCTGCAGTTGAACTGCGTTGACGGATACAAATTATAGGATAATTTTTTGGCTTCAACTTCTCAGAAAAGAATCTTTCCCGTAGAGAACCTCTCGTAAGAGAGCTTACATTACAGACACAATTTTGACAGTCAATTTGTTTTTGCTCCACCAACGGTCTCCTATAAACACACATCAGTAGCGTTTCGTTCCTCCTGAATTAATGTGTGTTTTTGAAAAAATAAATAAAAAATAGGAAAAGTAAACGATTCAATGACACTCTCATAAGAACAGTAATACATTGCGACATTCTGGAGTGATGATTTCACCTTCAGAAAAAAGATCCCTGAAAATCCCTAACTGTATAATGTGAAAAACCCTAATAACCACTACTATGACATTAATCGTTGTGTAATTTTTTTACTCAAAATATTATGACTCAAAATAAGGCTTTACTCTCGTAATGTTATGCTACATTTATTATTTACATGGCACTGAAACTGTCTCATGTCAAAAATAAAAGTACTTATTATTATTTTAGTTTATGTTATTTGTAGTATTATTATTATTATTAGTAGTAGTAGTAGGCCTAGACAGGTAATGAAGGGCAGTGCTGAGAAGCGCGCTCCCAGCAGGCGTCGGTGGCGCGCACAGGCAGTGGCTACAGAATCAGATAAACAGATCTGATGTGATCTGATGGTGGACGGAGGTGCGAGTCTAAAAAGCAGGATGGCTCACAACACCAAGCACACGATGTCCGCTGATGTGGAGAGTCGGAGGCGACGGTCCACCGAGAGTTCAGGCGAGTATTACAGTCATCTCATGATTATTAAGACGTTTTCTCTCATTATAGTTTTAGTTGGGACCGCTTTTAAGATAGTTTTCTCTGTTTGTCTGCTTTGTTTGTTTGGGTATAAAGTTACCAGTGGTTTTCAAACTCACTCGATTTATTTTGGAGATTTTAAGTCAGTTAGTAATTCTAGATGTTTTGACAAATAATACATCCAATCTGTTGGGGAATTTTGGGAATGTGTCACACCTGCAAGGAGACTAATTTCATCGATTTCTATCTAACTGTTTCTATCTACTGTAGATGCAAAGTTAAATTTGTACGTAACATGATGAGCAGATGGCTTGTCAAATATTTGATGAAGTGTTTGTTTTTAATCTGTCACAAATTTAAAGGCAATTTCCATAGTTATATCAACACTGCATTGCTCACATCTGAAAATAAAGATTGTAAGCAGATTTTCTATGCATGTCTTTGAAAAAAAAAAGTGAGAATGTGATGTTTTGTTAATTCTTAAGTATTGTGAGTGTAATGTGACCTTTGAACTGTTTTTAATATAAAATCAATTAAAGTTGGCTCATACCTAGGCTAATATCTGAGTTTTTGTGTTGAAATATGGTAGTAATTTTTTTTTTCTGCTTTGATTTTTTATTTATTTATTTATTTTTTTATGCCATGATATCAATTAGCAATGCCATCAGGCACGGTCGCTTTACTAATGCTATGTTAGAAAGTCTTGTTCATGTGACCATCAGGAGTCTTTTGTTAGTTCCACACTGACTGGTTAGGGACTGGACCTAGTCATCAGATGACTATGAGAAACCTCTAAATCCACTGACATTGATTTCTTACTCTTTATGACCATTAGAGCCCCTCTGGGACCATGAACCCAAAGGTCGCCGCTGTAGCTCCCAGTGTGACAGACTGTGTGTAGCCGGAGCATATCTTGAGATTCCAGATACTCCTTCCCCCTGCACCTCCCAGTATTTTGGACACTACACCCCGAAATGCCTCTCTACCCACAGTGAGTGTTTTCACATAAACTCAAAGTCTCAAAAAAAGTATTTTATCACTCTTTTGCTCTTGTTTGTAATGTATTATTGAAATAAGCTTCGAACAATTTCAATATTTACTGGGTAGAAATGTTTTTTATTATTATTACTTTTCAGGGCATTCACGATGCACGGATGACGTTTGGCAGGAAACGAGCGTCAGAACCACCATCCGAGCAGAAAACGAGGTGGAGGCACATAAACTTGCCAACAACTACAAGGTGTGTAAATCTGAGCGCTCATGAAATTTTCTTGTTTTAACAGTCAGGGATGTTTCCAGAGTGGAAAAAATAAGGGTGCAAATCCATGCAATAACTGGAGGAAATGATTTGTTTATGTTTCTATGCCAGTTTGGTTTCAGGAAATGGAAGAGTCATGTAACCGAGCGGCCCATTGAGGACAGATCTGATGTGGTTAAGGAGCTTTATTCTGAGCTCAACTATATCAAACATCATTCAGGTTAGAAAAAAATCAATGGCAAAAAGATAAACCCCCAAAATTATTGGACATGCAAGCCACCCAAATGCCAAACTATAACTTTGATTTTGTTTTTAAAT